GCGACTGACCTGGCCTGAGTCTAAAGAGTCTGAAGACTGAACTGAACCGGGCGCCTTGTCGACGCGCGCCGACGAGGAGCCCTTCGACAGAGGAGGGGTTGGACGCTGCCAGACCAGACACTGCACCGCCGCCGCGCCGTAATGCAACACCACGTGTTACCGCAGCCAACGACAGTGGCGGAAAGGCAGACGCAGACAGACAAACTGAATTACTGAAACTGAATTCGTATTTCGTATCTTGCTGACATGCATGCGATGATACTGTATGAAACTGAGCGCATCCGAAACGCGCATCTAAAATCGGTCTTCCAGCACGTACGTTTAGGCAATATTTTCAGTTATGAACGTGTCTTTTTGCGCTTTCATTTCGGAGCAGGATACCTCTATTTTAGTTTAGTTTTTTTTTTAACATAATATTATGAATTCCAATTCATTGTCCAACCGTTTGTTGAAACGTTAACTTTCTATTATCGATAGAAAATTCACTGACAATGCATTGACTGATGATAAAATCTAAAAAATTAGGAAGTTTTTATATTGCGTCCTTTATTCTAAAAATCTCCACACATTCCTGATCAGAATTATCAATCTTTTTCTTAGTTACATATAGCCAAAAAGAAAGTTTACACAAGCATTTACAATTTTTACAGAAGTGTCTACAAATATTGCCAACGAGATACCAACAGAAATTAAGATAGAATCTGCTAATAGATTAATAATGATTATTTAATTTGTCATTTTAAAATTATTTATATATAAAAAAATATACATATTTTATTTAAATAATTATTAAATGACAGATCTTGTTCGGCTTCTATTGTCGACATGATTTTCTCACAGAACATGAGCTTAATGTGCACGAACGCTGATATTTATCTGTCACGATATTTCGCTCGAATCTGTTGGCACTTTACTTACTGCGCACTTAAGTGTCGATTATTTGTAGCACAAGATTTTTTGAACGTATATTATAACTGTTTTCTTTAATTAGGACTTTAATTAAAACTTCTTAAATAATCTTATTAAAATTCTCAATTAATCATCTCTAATTATTAGCGGTCGTTAAACAAAAGATTTAATTCGGCACACACACACACATTCCTATCTTTAATTTATGATCCCGTAATGACTATTATAATTATAACGTAATTATGATGTAATTAGTAAAGTGTAACATTGTAATGAAATTAGTAGATCATCGACATACGAATAAAACAGTCAATTAAAAATTCACCTCAACGAATTTAATTAACCGTATTAAAATTTTGGATAGATCTCGGATTCGTTGTTATTTTTCTATAAAAATAACTAATAATTAAGTAATAACAAATAAACCAATAAAATAAAAGATTAGAAAATTATTGTCATCGTTCCTCATTTTAAGAATTATGTTGCTGGTTTTCAAAACTGTGATTCTTTTTCAAAACCCTTTATAAATTTATGCAGATTGTCATAAAAAACGAGTGTGCATCCACAGAAATGTTAAATATATATATACATATATCTTAAGTCTGTTTTTTGCAGCTGAATCGACAACATATACATTTTTTTATTTAAAATAAAATAGGTATATAATTTTAAATTTAGGAGGAATTAAATTAAGAGGAAAAAAAAATAAAAAATGAAAAAAAAAATAGTTTTTAACAAAAGTTTAGACGCAAGAAACAAACATCTCATCACATTATGTCATGGTTGCAATCACGCGGCCAATCACAACGCGATGACGTGCCGCAATTGGAGAAGAAACTGCATATGCAATGAAAATGTAGAGCAAAGAGCACGCATAAATCGCAATGACGCCGGAGCATACATAAAACGTCTAATTGAGCTATGAATAAGCAATATACTCGACGTACATACAATGTATCGCACATCAGCCATTGTCAGCAGTAATAGAATATGCGAAATGCCATTAAATTGAGTCCCAGTCGGTCATTCGATATCAGTTTATTTTTCTTTGTTGCATCCGAAATGAAGCAGATATATGTACGTTGATTGTTTGAGAAAACGCAGAAGTAAACGCGTGGTATAGCAAGTGCATTCGAATGAATTTAAGAGAAAAAGAATAAAAATTAAGTTCTTTTTTTTACACATATACATATATAATTAAATATGCTTTATTTAATTTTAGAAAGATAAACGGTACGTATTTAGACCGATATTTGCAGATATCTAAAGTCAATTATCTCTGATGCTAATTATGTATTGTTGTACTTAAAATGTAATAAATACATGAAATTTGGTGAAAACGAGATAAAAGTCTTAATGCACATAATCTCTAATAATAAGCGATAAAGAACAAGGCTCTTATATTCAAGACTATCTTAAGTACTATCTTATCCTGAAATATTATATACGATCACTTCATCGACTGATTGGCAATTTTGAGACTTACAATGATTAAACTCAAGTGATTAATGTCCGTTTTCATTATAGATTAAATTTAATCTCGGTTCATCTTTTACTAATTTTTAAAACTAGAAAAAAATGAAGAATTAGTTGAACGAAAATTAAAATCAAATTACTATGGAATTACTGGTGGAAATTAATCCGGTTACAGTTTAATTATGAAAATTTGTAGCATACACACACTATCGCTTAAAAGTTTGGAGCAATTCGTAATTTTTTTGGATAAAAACACGATCCTTTACAGATATATAATTATCTTACTCAAAATATTTTTATTTTTAAATATTTCAAAATACTTTTATTTTTTAATTTTTCGAATATATTGGAACTCTTACAATAAAATATATTTTATTAATAAAAAGAGCAACGAGCCAAGGTAAAATACAAATACAAAAACAACAGCAAAACATATAAAACTAATTTTTAGTTTTTATACATCTATTTTATTATTACTGCTTTACATCTATAATTTTTACTTTTTGACGACATAATGAAATTTGGCCTTTCTAACAAGATCCTGACTAGTTGCATCTTTCACTACAGGTACTCTACGTAATGTACGTACAATTTGATCATTCAAATGATCAAATTTATCATTATCTTAATATTTTTTGTAACGTTTTACAATTTATTTATATTATCAAGGTATATTAATTATATATATCTACAAATAAAATAAGATTCAATATTATATTGAAATGCATTTGTTGTAAAAGCATTTTTTTAAGTATTTCAAAACATCAACACAAAGAATTTTCTACGACTCGTCAACGTAATTTTATAATGCTTTTAAAGGTTCTATAGACTTAAGGAGAAAATGGAGGTACGTCGAAGATATACATTAATAAAGCCGATACGAAGAAATGTTGTCGTTTCTCCACCGAGTTTTATATCGAGCGACGCAAAAAGCGAAGTGCGCAGATTGTTCGATTCATGCATTTATGTAGACTAATTTGCAGATCGTATCGATAAAGTTCAAGATTGAACGACGCCGAGTTATCGACTCACCGTCTGTCTCTCTTTCTCTCTTCCTGTCCCTTTCTCGCTGCATCGCACGATTCTGCGCATAATGCGAACGGTGAGAGGGAAAAACGGGAAGGGTCTGAAATTAATTCGTTTAATTCGGAGCAGCCAGATGGCTCCGAGTATACTTGGAGTACGCTATGCGCGTCGTGCAATTTTTTTTTTTTTTTTTTCAGCAAATTCACAGAATCGAACTTAACTAGACCGAAGAAAATTCGATTATACCAACATTGAGATTAACGATGCGTTAGTTTGCGCCGTTTGCGGACCGCTCTGCGCCGGTCGCCGGTTTTAATCAACCTAGAATTAGCATCCCTCTTTCAGATTATACGATGCTATGTAACGCACAGTTGCGGAGGCGGAGAAACGGGCATTTAAGATGGATATGTCAGTTTAATATTAGAAGCGTCGTGGGTGGGGCATGGCGGTCGCGATTATTAAAAATTTACACGTATCAGAGTGATCGATCAGTCCTCTCTCAAAGCAGAGAAAGAGAGGAAGAGGTCAGATGCGGAACGCGATAACGAGAGCCATTCAATCGGGCCCACGTATATGTATACGCGCGAAACGTCATCGGTCACGGCCGGCTGCGCCTACAAACAAAAAAAAAAAACATGCCGGACATTCCAGCGAAGCGCTCGACCATCCGTTAAAACTCCTTCGAACGAGGAGTGGAGATTCATCCGTGCAGGCGAACGTGTGAGCTTAAAAAAAAGTCCTCGCCTTCGGTATTATGGTACAATTTACACGCGGTAACAAGATCGCGTTGGATCTCGTCGTGCGTCACACGACGATCGCTGTATAATATCTCTTAGTCGATGCGCAGCGACATCGTTCGTCGGTTAATAAGCAAGAGAGAGTCGGGGGCTTCCTCTTCGGCTTCTTCTCCCTACGTCCCCTAGTCCTACACCCAGCATCAAGCGTGGCTCGCGTCACTCACGTTGCAGGCGCAGTTGCAGACGTTGCAGTATCAGAGTTGCAGTCGCGACGCGATTGGAATTGTACACGTGCGCGCGCGCACTCTCTCTCTCTCTCTCTCTCTCTCTCTCTCTCTCTCTCTCGCGCGTGCGCTTACCTTCTCTTTCTCGTACGCGCCTTCGGGAACGGTGAGACGAGGAAAGCGCACGAGTAGATCGATGGTGTGCGATCGCGGCCTTCCGTACGCGACACCGTGTGTTCCGTCCGGCCTCGTTGCGCGCGGCGACCCGCAGCTTCGGACGGAAGTGTGATCGGCCGCGAGGAGGCATAATCGGAAGCGCTGACGATTTTCCGAACATGTTGTGTCTCCAGCACGTTCCTCCGTCGCGCTGTGACACGCGCTAATTACCGCGTTTAATTCGTTGCTATATACGATGGACTGACACGTTTGTCACCGCGCCAGCCAATCGTTGGGAGTTATAGACGTGGCGAATCGTCGCGACGGCGACGGCGACGCACGTTTCGCGGTAGCAGTGCGTTATAACGGTGGTACAACGAACGTAAACACGCACTGCTGCCTGTCTCGTGTACGCGCGCGGCATTTCCTTCCTACGCGTGTCAAAAGCATCTCCACGACGGTAAACTCTGTCCAGCTAGATGACCTACGTTCGTCAGCTTCGACGAGGAAGGATGTAGCGCGTGTCTTTGCGTCAGGTTAAAATTGTCGATCAGGTTAAATTTGCAATGAGCTCGCAACCGATTGTGGTGCCTGGTGGAGAGCATCGTCTTCAGCCAGAGTCTCAGTCTGTTCCTGTTGGAAGTTCAGTGGATACCTACAAGACCATGACACCGCCAAACGTCAGCAGATCCCTCAGTCGTAAGTGTTATTTTATGTCTTTGTTATATTAATTAAATTTTAGTCTCCGTATTTTAGTAAAAACATGTCAAATGATGCCAAGATGTAAATAATTTAATTGTTATAAGACACTGTAATGATGTTAATGGTTATTTACGTGTCTTCCTCGTTATTTATTATTGTGACGATGTAATTTTTTTATTGGTAGAATGTAATTAGTTTATAAGTGATAATTAAGAACAGCTGTCGAGTATACTTATAAAAATTGTACAAATTACTTCATATTGAAAATAGGGGAGCTATAAAAATATAAAATTTAAAGAGCTTTATAATTGTATATATTTACAAATACATACAAAGATTATGTACGTATTTCTAAAAAAAAATGATGAATCTTAGGAAACTATTGTAAGAAACTTTGTCATTGACATTGAATCGTATTAAAAACAGATGGAATAATTATAGCATGTTTCTGCAAAAATCTTTCCTGTTATTAGTGATCTGAGACTCAATAGATTTATGTAACACTCTCACAAATTATATACAATTTCTAATGTTTACATAATGTCTACTTTTATTATACGCAGACCAGAGTACTTATATTTATATGATATAGTATTTATATATTATATGTCTAGTATTTATAAATGTATAAGAGTGTGTTTCTTTAAAATGCTTTTATTTTTTTTAACAATCACATTTTCCTAAAATATTTTCGACATTTAACAGTGCCTTTAAGGGGGAAAAATGAAAGTAATATACATTTACTTTCAATATCTTTAACACATGTAATATATGTTTAATATAATGTAACAGTTTTACTAAAATAATATTTATATATTGTTTGTCTCCCTTTGCAACATATTTCATATATGAAATGCCTAGTAATCTTGACAATGATATGTCAGATGTACACTATATAGTAGCTTATTAATATGAATGAAATACATACTGTAGCACATCTGACTGTTGGAAAAATGGAAATCAATACTTGAGAGTGTAACAAACCATTCTCATATTATAGTAGTAGGAATCCCTACTCTGCTCTACACTATAAGCACTGTAGTTTGTTGTGGATAATAGCTCGCTCTTTACGACCCACTTTTCTATACTGGTTTGTCCTGCGATATACAATACAATCAGGACAAAGTGTGACTTTACATTGACTACTGTAAGCCCTTAGATGAAATGCAAAGGTTGAGTTGGTGTTCTGGATAACATTTTCACACAATGAGTCTCTTTATTAAACATCACTGTTTTGTTACACTCTGTATACAAAACACAATACACAGATATAAAACAATAGCAAAAAATGTAGTGTGGAAATGTTTATACAAAATCTGCAAATATGTCTAGACTACTCTATTAATAATAATTTACGTACACTGTATAATAATCCTTGAAACATTTATTGAATTATTATGTAATATGGTGTATTATTGATTATGTTATTTTGAGAATAATGTTTAGTTCTCTTTTTGTAAATATTCGGTATTGTAATTTGCTTGACTGCATGGAGCAATATGAAGCACGTTCTCAATTATGCATGTATAAATTAAGCATGCATATCTTTCTTCTTCTTTTGTACTATACATACATGCAACAAGGTAGACAAACATGCAATATCTCTGTATTTAACTGCAAATTAATCGCGCGTTTTTGGCAACTATCATCTCGTCCATCACATATAAGACAATATTGGGACATTATTTTTATTATTACATGTTAACATTACCTAATATTATATTATAACGTAGATGATATAAATTCTGGCTGTCTATGTTGTCGACCAATCGTTGAATAGTTCTTTGAGAAACGACTTTAATGTGACGTAAGATGTGATAATAAATATTGAGTGCAATTGAATGAGTGCTAAATATGTAGAACCAGCGGATCGGCAACTTCGAAGAAGCAGCATCCAAGCACAGTCTACACCATTACCTAAACTTCCATCAACCGAGTCCCTTGCAACAAGCATAAATATTACAGCTGATGCACCTCCAGTTTCTCCAGGTATAAAACAAGAAATATTTTCGAAAAGTAATACATCGTTGCTATAGTTTGGGATAACTCTGAGCAGCTTGTCAAACTTGATTGATATCATAGGTTTTTATTTTTACAATGTAATGGATGCATATACGCTAGAAAAATTCCGAAATTATGTATGACTTATATAGCTATTTCTTAACGTTTATGTTTGCATTTCGTTTCACAGTGCAATTTTCTTTACAAATTGTAAACTATTTAGCAATATCATTTAATGCTTATCATCTACACTTTACATGATGCTTGTAAGGTAAGCTTTAGATATGCAAAAAATGTTTATGTAATTAATATAGTAATATAAAAAGTACATATATACATTGATCTGATTATATAACTCAGGATAACAACTCGATAATACATATATTATGTCACATTGTATTGAACTGTTTCATAAAATTTGCGTCAAATTTAATTATTTTTTTGTGGATTGGTAAATGATACTTATTTTTTAGCAGAAATCTGGCATATTGCATGTTGTCTTATGTTAACATTTAATTTTTAATATTAAATATTTTTTGTAAAGTAGTATTTTCTCTTAAGCATGTTTTTGTTGCAATAATATCTAATTGCCTTGCATTTTTAAGAATTGATACATCAACACTTTTTGTTTTAATAATTATATTCAAATCTGTAACTAGATTGTAGTACAATTTATAAATTTTAAAAATAAAAATTTAATTTAAAATTTAAAATAACAGTAAAACATTTAAACGTAGGTATTAGCGAGATTTGATGCAAATCTTGCAAAATATTCTATATATTATGCATATATTAACATAATGGATATGATTTATAATAATATAATAATTTTTTGAAAATCTAATTCTTGTACTATATACGATTTAAAAATCGTAAATATATGTACATCGAATCAGTAAATGTCTATTTAAATAGTAAGAATAGATAATTTAATACTATCTAAATATAATTTATTTATAATAAACTCGTAAAACAAATCAAGATAATAAATTTTATTATGGTACGTAGTGCGAGTCCTTTTTGTCCATTTCTCGCAATAATATTTATGTTTCTGAATAAAACATGTTGATTATTGAAAATTTTAAAGGTTGTGGTTGTATCCTCAAAGAGTAATCATGATTGTATAATGTAATCATAAGCACGTACAAAGAACTATTATTTGCTATCGTAAGTATTTGTATTTAAAGTTGAAATTGACGGAAATGACAGAATAGCCTCGCCCTACTCTATTACGTATTATTGAAACTATATTTATTTTTTCGTAAAAAACTTGTGTTTTATAAATTTTACATCTATTTGTTTCATATATGAAACATATGAAATAGAATACTGATTATTTAAGCTGTTAATAAAAATAAATATTAAATAAAAAAAGATGAATTGAGGTACTTAAATAGATTGTCTTGATTTGTTTAATTATGATGTAGAAAAAGTTTGTCTGTGTTACTTTATACTAGATTCTATTTTAACTAGAGTTAGATGAATATGAGATTCCATGCATGTATACAAGACAAAATGGAATAACGTATTGTGTACATATTTGCATTGTTTTATTATAAAGAGTGTAATTAAAAAAATTTTTTTAATAACCTGTAAGTATGCATTATTTTTCTTTAAAAACGTAATACTTGGTTTTGTTTCATCCTTTATTTTAAAATGATTAAGTTTGGTTTTAGAATATGAATCATGGACTTGTCCATTTGTTAGAAAATATATCTGTAAATTATAAGTGTATATTAATAAAATAATTACGGAAAATATATATATAGTATGCAGTATACGATATACATATAATTTTATGTATACTAAATCATGTATTAAAATTAATATAATATAATTTCATTTTTAAATACTTAGATTAGATTATTTATATGAACTAAAGTACTCATTGTAATGTATATACTGTATATTAAAATATGTGTATAATATTCGTTATGTGTGTACGGGGTAAATTAAAAGTAATATATTATAAAAATGATTTTTTTTAATCTACTAAAATTAAAAAGTTTGAGAATAAACTCTACGTATACACTCTATTTCGATGCACTCCAATTCGCCTAATTACGACTGTACACAAAGTATAATTATAAAAAGTAATTCAAAATGATGTATGTTATAGGTATCTCTGGTATGGGCGAAGGTAGTCAAAAAATGGATAATTCATCAGACAAGGTAAATAATTCTTTATTCTTAAGGTACAATTAATTTATTTATTAAAGATTTGATGCATGACTTTTAGTTAGCTCTATATTTTTTAAATCGTATAATTACAGTAAAAATATTTTATTGTCTTTTATTTATTTCCACAACTTTATCTTTTACCTCATTTTTATTGAAATACAATAAGATATAATCTATTGTAATTTTAATTCGCTCTTTTTAATGAATAATATTTTTAGTCGTTAGATTCTTGCAAATTAACGCGAAAGGAATCGTATAAGGCTCAAAGAAAGAATTATCGAATGGAAAAGAAAAGAGTTGCCGATGAACTTTTAAGTTCTTTCAAAGATCCAACCGTTATTGTTATGAGTGATTGGTTAAAAGTTCGCGGCACACTGAAAAGTTGGACCAAGTTATGGTGTATTCTGAAACCTGGATTATTGCTGCTATACAAAAGTCCAAAAACGAAGGTTTGTGATTTGCATTTCTCTTTTTTTTTCAACTCTGTACCTTTCTTATCCGTGAAATTTATTATTACAGAGTAACCATTGGGTTGGAACGGTACTACTCAATACATGTCAAGTTATAGAACGTCCGAGTAAAAAAGATGGATTTTGTTTTAAATTATTTCATCCTTTGGAACAATCTATATGGGCTCCTCGAGGACCAGAAAAAGAAGCTATTGGTACATATCTCTATCATTATACATATACATTGTATATGTATTGCTTTTGTGTAACAATGTTTACAATATATTAATAGATAACATATATAATCCAATTTAAATATAATAAGAGATATATATATATATAATAAGATAATTTAAATATAATAGATATATATGTGTATATATAACTGGACATGATTGGTTTTCATCTATCAGTCTTAAATTTTGTAATTTCTGTGAACTTCTATAAGTAATAGCTGGAATGTCAACATTTTGTGGAAGTTCTTATGTTCCTCTCTGAAATGATAGAATTTTACACACACACAAACACAATACAATATTTATGTACTCGCACATTTTACAGTTATAAACAAATTAATATTTTCCAGGTGCTGTTGTACAACCTTTACCAACATCGTACTTAATCTTTCGAGCACCATCTCAAGCGGCAGGCAAATGTTGGTTGGACGCACTTGAATTGTCGTTACGTTGTTCTTCGTTAATAGTACGCTCGACAAGCGCATTACCGCGTCCTTTACCACACGATGCAACTACCACTCATGAAACTCAATGGAGCGAGGCTGATTATGAAAAGCACTTTGATGATCATGGTCAGTATCATTGACATAGCTTCCTACTCTTGCAATATTTAAATATAATTTGTAATAAAAATGCGTTTAAATGAAACTTATGAAACGTAACTTTTAATAATATAATAACATATATACAGAGTTTTCTAAATTTTCTGCATGTTTTTCGTCCATGGAGTAACTAATTTGAAATCAATTTTTTCGTAATACAAATAATCTTGGTCTTTATTATCTATTTTTTTTTAAATTATTATTATCTCATCGTTAATACTTATAAAAAAATATCTTATACAAAGAAGTAGTTATTCTATGTATATTGGAGTTGAAGAACTTCCCGTGTGTATGTGTATAAAATTTTATATTATATATACATATATTTATATGTAAATATATATATAAATTTTATGTATGATTATATTTTATAGTGGATGATTGTTGTACAATATACTAACTCTTTTGATTATCATGACTAAAACATATATTAAATAAAGAACAACATATTTTGTTAACTCTCAACATATTACATTTATTAAATATCGGAATTTTTTTTCATAAAACAAAAGAAGAATAAACAATCGATATTTTTGATAGAATACTAAATAAATATAGAAAATTGGATTTATAAAAGCATTGAATATAATTAAAGAAGTATGTTGTATGTTGTATAAGAAGTAAAATCTGTGAATGATGCATGGCGATCTATCAATTTACACTTCTATTGATGAAAGTAATTAATTTTAAATGGTTTTTTTTGTATAAATTTTATATAACCAAACAAAAAAATCGCGCGAAAATATTTTTAATATTTTAATAACTTACAAGATTTTTTTATCGTGTGTGTGTGTGTGCGTGTGCGTGTGTGCGTGTGTGTACGTGTGCATGTTGCTATCTGTAATTTTTAATAATTTGTAAAGAGTTATTTTTTAATTGTATAATTTATAAATTTATTAGTACCATACATAACAATAATAATTTGCAAATTATTTAAAGAGAGAGACTATTAAAATATATTCATGTTGAAACATTCAATGCAGAAATATTTTTATATTTCTGTACATTCAAATTTTAAGATACTAAAATTTTGTAAAGAGAGAGATTATGTTTAATCTTTTACACACACACACATTTAAATTTACAAACTAAATAATGATCGCTGTTATTTTCTTCTTTTTATTCGTCTGTTATCCTGCTTTTTATATCAACAGTATACTTAAGTCGCTATGCTCCAAGAACTCCTACGACCCCTCAAAGACGCTTGTTATCTTTTCCGCAATCATTCTCACCCGCTATAACTTGCGATAGAAGTGTTTGCCCCTCACCAACTCCAATGTTTCAACATCTTTGTCACGCAGTTGCGTATTGGGAAAAACTTTTACTTGATCGATCTCCTACACCTGGCATAGACCAAGAAAACATTGCATCTTTGACTCCTAATGAGGAACCAGATGGTGGTGATACTCAACCATCTGGATCTTCATGTTTTGCTTCTGCATCTCATCCACCAATTTCCCCAGCACGTCGCATGACTGTTCCTTCTGTACATGTCTTAGAATATGATACCCGTCAAGTAGTAACGCTAGACCCTGTGTACACCTCGCATACAGACCTGGACGATATTAGTCAGCCGGAAAATGGAGTAGTAGCTGATGCTGAAATTAGTGCCTCGGACAGTGAGTCTGAAGCATCAGCCAAAGAAGATCAATCAGAGCCAATCACCGAAACACCATATATAGCTAATGAAAATGAAATTCTTGGAACGGTAAGCAGTAACTCTACACAATTTTTAATTAGAATAAATGTTTATAACGAGATATTTACAATTTATTAAACTTTATTTTTCAAATACCATGTATACTTTATTTTTCATTAATCTTTTTCTGAATTGCTCCATTTTGTCATGAATATATACATTCTGCATTTATTTTCTGTGATTATTATACTGTTATCCATTAATAGGCTGGTGAAGTCGTTACAGAACTGCAAGAAGAACAAAAATCTTTGTTATGGTTCTTAATGAAACAAGTTCGTCCTGGTATGGATCTATCTAAAGTTGTATTGCCAACTTTTATTTTGGAATCACGGTCATTTCTTGAAAAACTGGCCGATTCGTATTATCACGCCGATTTATTGTCTCAGTTAGTAAAATAAAACGTAGTAATATAATATATTAATACATTATAACTTTCTTAACACATACAATAAAAGAACATAATTTTTTTAATTTTATTTCATTTTACAGAGCAGTATTGGAAGATGATGCATTTACACGTATGAAAGCCGTAGTGAAATGGTATTTATCGGGATTTTACAAAAAACCACAAGGCTTGAAAAAACCATACAATCCGCTTTTAGGCGAAACATTCCGTTGTTATTGGCAGCATCCTAATGGTTCAAGAACATTCTATTTAGCCGAACAAGTATGATCCAGAAGATAATAAATTAATAATAATTGGTTAATATTAGATTAGATTTTGTTTATATTATCATAATAGTTCTCAATATCGTGACTTTAATAACAGATTTCCTTTATTAATTTAAAGTATATATATGCAGCTAATTATTTATTATTTTTTAAATGAAAAAGTACTATATTTTGTATTAATAAATATATCTAAAACTTTCTTACTAGTTATCGCATCATCCACCTATCTCAGGATTTTATGTGACAAATCGTCAAGATGGATTTACCATCAGCGCTACGATCATTGCAAAATCTAAATTTTATGGTAATTTGTTTATTATTTAGTATAGGCTATAGTAATATTGATACATATACTTCTATCCGTTATATATAATAGTAACATTACTTATAATACTCATGTCTTACAGGAAATTCGACCACTGCAATTTTAGATGGTATTGCTGTATTAACGATGTTGCCGAGAGGCGAAGATTATACAATGACAATTCCTTATGCACATTGCAAAGGCATTCTTATGGGGACATTATCTATGGAACTCGGTGGAAAAGTGACTATAATATGTGAGAAGACCGGCTATCACACAGAATTAGAATTTAAACTTAAGGTAATATACATAATATATTTGGTTTTTTTATATAATTACCAAAATTGTTAATAAAATAGCGATTTTTTTTTTTAAAGGTATAACAAAATCTTAATTTATCTCTTTTGTTAAAATAATGTTCAATTATATTAATTTGACTAAAAATAATGTTAATGTAATTCAAAATATGTTATAATATTTTTAGCCGTTTCTTGGCGGTGCGGAATTATTGAATCAGGTTGTAGGACGAATACGTTTAGGAAAGGAAACTTTGGCTACTATTATGGGATACTGGGATGGATTAATTTTAATAACGGACAAACGGACAGGGGTAAAATAAATTTATATCGTAATTAATAATTTTTTAGATAACTATTAACATAATGTTTTATTTTGCAGCAAGAAAACATTTTCTTCAATCCTACTCCGGAAGTACGCAACAAAAGATTAAAAAAATATAGTGTTCCTTTGGAACATCAGGGAGCATGGGAAAGTGAAAAATTATGGTTAGCTGTTACACATGCTATTAATAGGGACGACCAGATTGCCGCTACTGAGGCTAAAACTCGACTTGAGGAAGCACAAAGAGAACGCGCTAAAGAGCGAAAGACTCTAGGACAAGAATGGGTTCCAAAATACTTCGTTCAAGTATAATATACATCATTTTTATATTTAATATTTATATGTTTATATATTGTCAAATATTTAATGTATATAAATATTTGCAAAATAATTTCCAACTTTACCTGATTTTATTAGGATATTATAACTGGAAATTGGGTTTATCGGCATGCTGACATAAGACCATGGGATCCGAGAAACGATGTAGTACAATATGAAGAAAATTATATAGTGCGCACAAAAACTAGACATAAAACACCTATTATGCGTACTGGTAGTATTGTTTCTACTGAACCCCAATCACAGGTACAGCGATGTAAGATGTAGTTCGCACTATGCATGCTGTTTTAACATTTGTACACATTTGTATAAGTAATAATTACTTTAACCGCTTTATGTGTCTATTTTAATCTTTCTCCGGCAGTATTATTGAACAACTGCATATTATATAGTTTTATTCTATTTGCTACCAATGAATTTGACTACTAGATTGTATACAGGTCTAATATTTTTAATAAACTTGTTTTACTTGATTTGTAATTTACATATGGTGTTAATATTAATTAAGTTATTGTATTTATTAACCAAAGTAACATTATTTTTGTGTAATCATGTATTGATCTTAAAATTTTATTTTATGATTATATAAACTATATAAATTTAAAATTATTACATAGTCAAAGTAAGTTTCAATATTTTAGAAAATTATAATAAAATTTTATACTTTATATAAATATATCATTTTTCACATTTAAATTTTTATAATTTTGAACGTCATATTGTCATGACTTTTGCTTTTTAAAGCAAAAGTCTGTATACATAAAACGTGCTACTTTCATTATAGAAAAAAAATATAAAAGATACTAGATAAAATAATAAATTCGCAATCTAGCATGAATGAAAAACAATATAAAATATTATGCATGTTAATAAAAAGATGCTTTTATTACTTATTGTATATTTTTATTTTATGTGTTTTTATATAATCATCTAGATTACAAATCATTGCAGATTCCATTATTACAAGCTGAATCACGTTCCTCTTTATCAGTGCTCAAATCTTCTAAGAGACAGCTATCAAACAATATGCCTTTAACAGAGGCTCATGATTCTGGAAGCTCATCTGCGGAGGCACATACCGATTCTAGTCAATCATTAGGGAAAAGAAAACGTTCAACCACTAGGTAAGAAGATTAAAATGTATAACAAAGACATTGTCAGTTATTAACTATATAGTAATGCGCACAAAAATTAAACAATCTTTGTGCATGTTATAATTTTATATATATTTTATATGTATTTCACAGTCAAAGAGTATTAATTTTCTGCGAATTTTAGGTTAATTGACGTAATGAAACAAGTTGAGCATCAAATGATAGAACAGGGTGAGAAATTGAATCGTATACAACAGATTGTAGAACAAGTTGTAAGAAAGCAAAGAGAATCTGGTGAACAGCATCATAACATAAATATGTTTAAGAGTTTTATGGATACTATACTAATTATTATTATCGTTTTTTTCGTGCAATATTTTTTAAATATATGGTATAATGATCCAACTAAAAATTGAGGGATTTTAATAAGATTGTTGTTTCTCTTTTGTATCACACTGGTTATTTAAATTGTATGTATCACTTGTTTTTTTATTTTCTAAAATTCTTGCAGCGTGGTGTTTGTATTTTATGATCATAATGAAATGGATCGTTTCGCGGAAGAAGTATAATAATATAATTTTTATCCTAAAAAACACAATATATGTGAATCATTTTCATTAATATAGAAATATAAAGTATTAAGAGAAAAAAAAATATATTAGGAGTTCTACATGTTAGATTCCGTATAATGGTATTTTGTTATATAAATGCAGAAATATAAGAAAATTTAAGTCCAGGAAGTTACAATCTATATTGTACATAAGGCTTAATACTGAAAGAATTATAAGTTCCCGAATTATATATACATACATATATATATATAATTTTTATTGCAACCAGCCAGTACCAAATTGTAATATAATCACGTAATTGTAAAATATTCAGATGTCACTTTTACAGCTAATTTATTATAAATTCCGCTATATTTAAATCTGTATTAATATATGATATAATAGAATGTTATAATTTGATTCTGATGTGATCTCAAATAATCTATGACCATGTTTACACCGAGTACTTAATATCCAGTAACTTTTTATTAAATTATTTTAATTTCAGTGATTTTTTTTCATGCAAATGTATACACGGTATGGTTATTTAATTAATCATCTAGATATATATATATATATATGCATCTTGACTAGTTTAGTACACATTTAAATTCTTTAATTGCCGATATATTAAAATAATTTAATAGAAAGTTACTAGTTCGTACGCGTATCAAATGTTCGGTGTAAACTGGAACTACATTAAGCTGTCTTATTCATATTTGTAAATCGATTAACTTTATTATCACTGTGGAATAACTTGCATCAAAATGTTCTTTATAATATTGATAAAAATTTTTTTTAAACTCCGGTACAGAGAGAGAGAAAGCTTATGACATTGTATATTTTATTTACTGCTAAGCTTGTCATGTGATATTTCGATATAGTATCAGTATCAGGCGTGTGTGTGTGTGTGTATGTGAAAGAATCTATCCAACTCGCTTGACATTTCACCGGACATATTTTTTGTTATTGATAAGAATATTTATGTAATTTAAAAAAAATTTAAATTTAATAAAATAGTATAGTTTAATATATAAACCATTCTACGCATATACATATATATTATAGCTATTTATAATTTTGTTTGTATTAGAAATATGGATTTTTGATATATTTTTTTCTTGTTACAAATTATGCGTTAATATTATTTAAAAATATTTCATATATATATATAAAAGTATAAATATATATAATTCGCTAAAAAGTTTTTTAATATATTAATATTATTTATATAATATTGATACTTTTTAATTATATGTTAATTCTGGTTATTGTTTATACACATTTTTCAGTATTATAAAATTTTATTGATTGTTCTTGAATTATGAAAAGAAGGTAGAGCTGTTTTTGCTAAATTTTATCAATTAATACCACTTATAATATTACATACACCAAAGAAAATCTAAATACGCTCACAAATGTGTATATATAATATAACTGAAGTATCATTCTATTTGAAGAGTATAGAATATCTATTATTTTAGTTATAATATAGTCATTATTGGTAGCGTCGAGTGGTTCACCGCTCTGTGCGATTGACTCGCGATTTGTAGACCCGAGTTCAATCCCACGTGCGCCTAAACGCGATTTTTCGCGTTTAATGAGCCAAAAAATGGCTCCATCTGGTGATCAAAAGATCTATGATCATCAGCGCCGTTCGGATTCGGCGTTAAACTGTAGGTCCTATACATCAGTATACATCAGTAGTATACATATCAGTAGATATTTGTCTCTAATATCTGACTGAGGTAGGATTCTGTGGACCAATCACCCACAAATCCGAAAAACAATTTGATTCGAGAAACGAATATAGGCCTCGGACAAAAGAGGTCTATAGACGTCCTATGCTCCACATAAGGAGATAAAAGGAGTCGTTTATAGTCATTATTTGTTACAATATGATAATAAATTGGTTTTAATTTTGTTACATCTATAATTTGGTAAAAATTTTAAAAATATATATTTACGCGACTTATTTTATATATATTAAATATGATATTGTGAACATTTTTTTTATATTTTATATATTTTAAAAACATTAATAGTTTCTTTATATTATAATTTTTGATTTAAATCTCTAACTTACTCTACATTATAAAAATATGTTACATTGTTATAAAATAGGTAATTTTCCAAGAACATAAAAGGGATTTAATTTAATGCGATAGCATTAATTATTTACAAATAATATTATTTATGAGGAAAAAAAAAATATATATATATATAAGTCCGCATTCAGAACGCGTTTTTATCTCCGAAATTCTATAGTATGTATAACGTAAATTATAGCATGTTATAGAACGCTAACATCGTTATAAGCGCGTTCTGAATACGAGCTATAATTTAGCAAAAGGAACATATTGGTCACTAACATTATTCTTTTTTAATTTTATGAAAAAGAAGTGAAAATAACCTTTATAATTATTACAACGTAAAACTTGGACGTTTATTATTCTACAATATATATTAGGATTTACGTGAACTTGTCAATAATATGCGAATTTCTCTTAAATGTTGCATTATATGTACATATTTTATTTGTTTATGACAGATATCATTACCGTTAGGTAATAAATAAATAAAATATTCATATAAAGCTTTATATTGTTATACAATATTCTTCTAAAATTTGCTTCAATTCTCTCCAAATATCATATATTTATTTTATGTATATGTATATATGTTTTATATATATATAAATTCTATTTTTAAATTTCACAGATTTTAATTCAGTCATTCATAGTCTAATTCTACTATGGTAAAAACAACGACATAAATGTTTATATGTGTATTATGAATTGTTGGTTACATACAATCAATAAAATGTCAAAATTACATATGTCAAAATAATATAGAATTATCGAATCAATGTTACAATAACATTAAATGAATACTGTGAGTTCAAATATTCCAAAATTTTATTTGCTCAATGATGTTTACATATTATACTAATTAATAATAAATCCTTAAACGCTTTTTTAAAAATTTCATCAAAAAGATATTTTTTAGATTTTTTTTTTTACACGATTTTATTATAAATCTTAATTATAATATAATGTATTTCCTTTTATTATAAATCGTAATCGATATATTTTTGTTGTAATGAAAGTAGTATATATTCAAATAAAATAAAACTTAAACTTATTTTATATTTAGATGAAAATGATTCCAGTAACGCCGCAGATGCTACGTATAGCCATAAAAGAATTACAAAAACGTCAATTGTTTGTTAAATTAAAAAATTTGAGAGACCATATACAGAGACATTATCCGGTTGAAACTAATTTGAAAGCTCTCGAGGAAGAATTACAGGAAAAATTAAAGTATGCTGTTTGCGTTGGACTGATTGCTAAATGTGGAGATGATCAATATTGTATGCCAACTTTTCGAGAAGAGAGTAATGCCGTTAAAACAGCGATCAGCGCATTCTGGGAAATGTACAAAAACGTAATATATACATTGATTTCTTTCATATCAATTTTTAATTTTTTATGCAACAAAGTGCAGCCATACAACAAAGATCGTTTTATCAATTTAGAACAATCAATTGCCTAACAGGAAAAAGAAAAAATCAAGTACCAAGAGATCGCTATCACATCAGAAACGAAAATATTATGTGAATTCCTCTAAGAACGATGAAACTGATAGCGATGATTTAGATTTTCTCTAATCTAATAACCGTGTAATCGTAAAAATTATGATAAATGTGTTGTAAATATCAATTTATAACATATAAATTAATAGAAGGCTCAACAAGTATAAAACAAATTAATTAAAAATAAGAGAAAAGAGCCAAATAATATTTATATAGCTTTTTAAACATGCTCTTACATGATACGTCCTATACAATATAATTATACATATATATGCAAGATAAGGCATTTAAAGTATTATCATCTATTATCTCTGAAAGTATGCGTCGGATCAAAAATATATTCAGACAAAAGTTTTGTGATTTCGAGGAAGACATAAGATACCACTGACCTTAGGTGACGTTGTTAAGGTCAAGGAAAAGTGACCTCTAATTCTTTAAAGGGAACGCCCCATTTTTTTCATTACATATTTTAGTAGCATACCCTAAAAACTTTTCAAAACACTATGATAAAATATTTTTTCATTAAGTACTTTAAAGTTACAAGACTTGGAAGCTACAGTACCGCTTTAACATTACCCAAGATATCCGACCGACGGCTAAAGTCTCTTGAATGTTCAGAGATATTGACGTTTGTTAGGATAAAGAAGTTATCCCTCTATTTTATCTAAACATATTTTTAATCCGATGCATACTTTCAGAGATAATAGCTTGTAGCACTTTAAATGCTCTATTTTGTAAGTATCTCTGTGTAAAAATTATATATACAATATATATTTAAAGAGATTGTAACAAAGTAAATATGTAAATGGTAGAGACGCACTGTACGCAAAAAAAAATTTAATTATAATACAATAAAATGCCTAATGCTGCGTGGTACCAAGTATAGAAAACGAATTATTTATATCGTAAAATTCTTGACTGGTGCTTTCATGTGGTTTTTCATCTTCAAGATTTTCTTCGTGCAAAATACACTTCTTTTCTTCATATCTTTTTACTCTTTGCTTTTTACATTTATCAGTTTTCTTTTGCGGTGCAGTGTTAAACAAAGGTTTGACTTTTAATAAAAGTACGTTAAATAGACGTGACAAACTCGGAGAATCTCGCAAAATTAAATTAATATAAGCTTCAACATCGTCACGTTTTCTAAAATTGCTACATAAATTATACAAAAATGTACCATTGAATACACTAGCAACTCTAGTTGGTTCATATGGATATCCCAATAATGCATTTAAGTTCATACTATGTCTTAAGCAATTTTGAAATTCTGCAAAACCATGAATTATTGTAATATTAAATTTTTTCGGTTGTGAATGCAGTTTCTGATCTACTTCAAAATTAGATATAAAGAATGTAGCCGCAATTAAGCAGTCATTTACATCAACTTCACGAATAGCATTTGTAAGTGTAGAATTAATTGAATACTGTGGTTGATAATTTCCAATTTTTCTTTCATGTCGAATATTGTCTACAGTTCTATTAAATCTCTGATAGAATTTATTTAAAATTCTATAAAAGCCTATATTATAATCTATTATGTTAAATAACAAAGCAAATAATAAAGAGTATACATGACAACTAAATTTAGATGGTTCCTCTTGTTGATTTATCCAATACTTCATGGTTGCAATATATAACATCCAAATTGATGGAATTTCATTTATATAGCTCGCATTAAAGATTGTCAAAGTGGTATTTAAAATTTCTCTTCTGACAATAATAGGTACATGTCTCAAATTGTGTAAAGAAGGTAGTTTACAACCAAGTATATTATCACTATACTCCAATTGATAACGCTTAATCTTCTTATTCTCGTCTCTTGTAATATATTCCATGGCAGACTTCTTTCCTTTAAGTCCTGTTAACAATAATCCATAAATGACACTTATAATTTTTAAACTTGTAATAATAGATGAAATATAGGAAGAATCTTCAATTTGTGTAGGACAGACATACAACTTCCTTATTATTAAATCTATAAAATAGGATGGGAATCTGCTTTCCTTGAATTCCTTAATAAACCACTGAGGTAAATCGTCAACTAAAGACTCATTAGAAAGTAACTTTTTTTCTTCAAGTATGTTTACTACTTCTCTGTCTTCTGTTTCTTCTCTATCACTCAGCTCTGTATCATTTATCATTTTGTCAAAACATGTCAAATTATATATGTCACCTTCAAACTTATATATCTTGGAGGATATACTCTGCATATTTGCTTTCGATAAGATTTCTACAGGAATATCTAGCATGTACAACATACTCAATGGTGCACTGATATAACTATTTATTATTGTTTCTATTGTATTTAAAACGTGTTTGCGTTCTTGTTTTCGTAATCTGCTTAATATCCCTATAACAGCTTCATTTAAACTGCGTCGTCTTAACCAATCAAAAACCATATCTATTCGCCGTTGTTGTTCATTGTTATACTTCCTTCTTCCTGATCGTGGCAGATGACGAAAGAAGTTTTTAAATATATGTTGCTTCACATAATCATTTCCCAACAATACTGCTGCTAAGGGTAATAAAGACTGGTTTAATCCATAATGAACCCGAAAAAGTTTATCAACATAATAAATTTTGCAGCGTTTTATGTATCCTCTACCTGAAGGGTTAAGCACTATGTCATTTTCCAATGTATTAAACGGTATGTATAATGATCCATAAATATAGAAATCAGAATCATAACTTAATACAGGACAATTGAGAAAACGTGCTATTGCAGCTATGCTATTGTCTGCCTCAAATATGCACTGTGCATATCTAATGCCTTTTTCATTCATGATATCTTTAAAGACCTCTCTCATAAGCAGAGGAAGAAATTTGGTCCGGTGCTGTGAAGATAAAGTATAATTTGATGCAATCTCGATCTTTTGTTTAGTTCGAGATATAATTGTCTTCAGCTTTTTGTCTTCGCAACCACCATCAATCAAAACTAGCGGAGTGATATTGCATCTTATCAGTTGATCGAAAAAATCTCTCACACATTGTGCATACTTGTCATAATCACCACCAAAGGCACAATTGCATCTCGCATACCAGGTATATAATTGACAACACACACAGTTTCCATCAATCACTAAATAACTATCGTGTAGAGCATAATATTCGAGATAACGCTCTGAACCATTCGACATATATGTTGTTAGACCAGGAATTCCCATTGTAAATCAATTTTCTTAAAAAAAGACCTATAAATAAAAACTTTATTCAATATATGTTCATCAGTTTTTATAAGATAATAAGCACTGATATTTTTAATATTTCTAAAACCTCTTTTTTAGTACTCTATATAATTAGCTTCTTTATTTTCACATATATTACTTACTTATTAATGTGTTTACTTCAATTTGTTTATGATTGACTCTTTTATCAAAGAGAAGTCAAGAGAAATATCTAAGAACGACGCTCACGATTTGGTGACACGACATTTCCGTAAAGATGCACTTTCACGAACCGCTCAAGCTCAAACCCTATTTCCACTGGTTGGGTTCACAACCTCACTTTAAGCAGTTTAAGCCCATTCTACAATCCGTATGTCGGCGTCGGATGTCATATCGTAAAGCGGGGAGCACAGACTTTTGCATAACGCATAAAGCATGTGCATAAGGAATTTCATTGGCCCATTTTCTTATGCATGAGTCAATGGGCCAATCAAATTCTTTATGTATATAGTTTATGCGTTATGCAAAAGTCTGTGCTCCCCGCTTAAGAAATTAACCAATCATGGTCAATTTGGATAGATTTGAAGCACACATTTTTTAAAAGAGGGACACGCAACGCAATTTAAAAAATTATTTTACATTAAAAAAAATATAATTTTTGTAAAAATTCGTAAATTACAATAGTTATATAAATAAATATTACTTCTCTTGCATAACGGATTATTATCGCGTCACTGTGACTTTAATTAACACATCCTGTTTACTGTTTTCTGTATAAATCGCAAGTACAGCTTGCATATTCCGATCTAGTTTCTGTGAATACTGTATCTTTAAAGGAAATTTCTTTTTACTAGGTAACATTCCTTTTCCAGGAACAACACTGAAATAATCTGAATTTGATAGACTGGCCTCAAATGGTTCTGCTTCTTTGAAAAAGCTATGAATAGTCACGGTTGCTTCATTTTTTACTGGAGTCAGGGTGATGATATACGGAGTTACGGTGACCTGATCTTGAAATTCAGGATGTTGAACTCCATATTCTGTAGTTCTGTAACAAGAAATCTTTAAATTGACACAGTCATAAAAAATCTGATATAAAGCATAATAAGAAATATGCATATTAGAAAAGAAACATTTTTAATCTCTTACCGAGATACGAAGAAATTTGCTCCACCAGCTTAATCTAAATAGTGTCGCTTATAAGAGACTGATACATTTCCAATCATCAGTATCATAATGAACGGGCAAAGTTTTATCCGCATATGCCTTCACTGTGAGCATTATCTTACACTGATGAACGCCAGTGTATAAATCATTTAGGTTTTTCTATTTAAATACACGCTATCATTATTATATATAAACAAACTTTTTTGTTTTTAAATAAAATTTGTAATTTTTTTAATAAAAAAATTTTAATAGATTTTTGTGTTCAACTCGCCATATCTCAGCCAAATATGAATATTTTTCTTTGAAATTTTAACAGAATAAACTTTCTTCACTAACATCAGAGTTGCACTACTGTATATACTGTGCTATGAGTCACACACCCGACGGGAGGAACTTGTAGCGTATTTTACTGGACTGCACTAAGTGCGCACCAGTACAACCAGTGAAAGGATGAAGTACATAAAGACGCAAAGTAAATTCATAGTAATTTAATAAAAATCTGTACATACGTATCTGTACATATAAAGACTAGATATCTATATATATTTTATTTTACTGAAAAGCTAAAATAGTATATTTCTTTTAAACTTGTAAGTTCTTTTTAACATGGAATGCATTCTTTGTTAGACCAATCGCGTTGTCTTCGTGTTAATTACAAATTTGCTGAAAAAAATATTGCATAAATTACTTTATATAATCAAATTATTTGTCACAAAATTAAGATACCATAAGATTATATTGATTGATTACTATAGAAAGTTCTAATTCTCTCATTAATTTTTTCACATAATGATTTAATTAAATAAAAAATATAAAAAAGGTTTTAAAAAATTTTTTCTTTCATATCTTGCTTTTTTTCCTTTCAAATATAATAAATAAAAAAATTCTACGGTTAATAATGAATAGCGCACAATAAATCTTGCATAAATGTTATAGCTAAATTTTAGACTTTCAAATTAATGTGCACATTTTCTCATTTGATTCTGTACTTTTTGTACCATGGTTATTTGCAAGTGCTCGATCTCTCTCATCCCATATAGTGAGGCCATCGCATGCGCAGATTTTTTTCGTATTTTGAAATAATCCGGATGATCTGGCTATAATACCGCAAGCCAATCTATGAAGAAAAATTTAATGTAAAATAATAAACAATTATCAAATTTTGACAAAAGGAATTATTCTGTACCTAGCTCCGCTATTTCCATTTATCTTGGACTCTGGACTATCACCTCTTCCAAGATCATCTGGATCCTTAGTAATAATGAGAGATCTGCCAATGATATCGGATATCTTAAGAAACTTTTCTATCTTTCGAAAAGCAGCTCTGCCAGAAGTATCAGCTAAGACATTGCCAAGATCACCAACATGCTGTAATCGCAAATAAAATTATTAAAATACTGTAAAATTTAACTCTTACCGGGGTTGCAAACAGGAATAATTTTTGTCCAAGCAATTAGGAATAAAACAAGTGGATAGGAGCGTGCCCAATAAAATATTTAAATAAATTTGTTAAATTACATATATGTATAAACCATTTTTCATTTAAAATAGTTAATGAACCTACATGAAATTTTTATTTAATATTTTAGTATTTTTTTTAACCATTTAAGCCACTAAAAAAACATGCTAGACATTAATGACCTAAGTATTTATACTAAATGGGAATTACAACAATGTTTGCACAAAATTAAGGAATTTCTCCATTTAAATTTACCCTTTTGGTCAAATCATCTTCGGGACCACCATGTGGTGAATTATTTGGATTAAAGTGTTCGCCTACGCTGCAATTAAAATAAAATTTACTTAAAGTGTCAATCCAAATATTATTGCTACTAAAAGTTTTTTTACCTCTCACAGCCATTAGATATATCACCACATTCGTGTACATGCATACCATGTTCACCAGGAGTCAAACCATCGATTGTACCATCTATGATACATCCCTCTGAAGTTTCTCCAAATCTTATAACCCCTTTGATCAGATTACCTATGCTGTAACCCGAATTTCCACCCAACATTACCACAGCACTTGATCCATCTGCAAAAAATAAGAATCTAATTTCAACAATTACGAATGCTTAACTTCCGAGATATACACACATGTCTATATATGTATGTATTAAACGTCTATGTATTGTTATTTTAAAGATTTAGTCTTCTAAGCATACATATATATATTTTTAAAAATATATATTACAACAATTTTCTTTATTTCATTCATAATTTCTAAAGATACATACATTTTTAGAACTGTCAGAAAAAAAAGAACATAATATTATATTGAAAAATGACTTGATTCGAAAACTTGTTTTTATATTCTAATTTTACATATTGAATGTGTGTGTTTTCAATACTTCAAAAATATAGAATATAAAAATATTCAAAACAAGTTTTTAAATCAAGTCCTTCGATATATTTCTTTTCTATTTTTAACAATTCTAAAAACATACTTATGCCTTTAGAAAATGAATGAAACAGAGAAGTTAATAGACATTGTTAATATAAACACATCAAAAGATAACACATTTTATATATATATATATATATAAGAAAAAATTATTTATATAAACCTCCATATCCTTTTAACACTGCCTGCCTTCCAGTACTTTCGATTCTTTCTTGTATGATGGAATAAGATAGATTTGTTTCAAGAGTGACAGTGCCATGTTCTAATGATATATCAACATTGCGGATGCCTTCCAGATCTGCTATACTCTTAGAAATTGCATTAACGCATTTTTCGCATGTCATATGTACCGCGAATTCAATCTGCAAGAATAACATATATTATGAATTTGACAATATTTTATTTTTTTCTGCTAGCAATAAGATGAAAGTTAATTACTCACTTTCGTTAAAGCCATTTACACTTGATACTCTTATATCGATGTTAAGCAATGTGATGAACAGTGATAAAGCAAATTTCTTTATACTTATACTATTACACCAGTGGTATTTTGTATTCAGTCTATCTTTTATCTGTTTTTTCTAATTTGTTACTAATAATCTAGCCAAGCAGATCTTTTTTAGCAGTAAGCTTTTCAATAGTAAGTCTGTTCGCATTAAATTCCACTTGAAATTTTCAAAAATTTGTGCACTTGAAATGAGATGAAATGAAAAGACTGTTTTTTGTTCCTGCACTATCTAAACTAGTACACACTACACATGGTGCGATAAGTTATTTAACTGACAGCAAATAGAAGGTTTGGGAGAGCAACGCCACTAACGGCAGACATTCGAACTCACGACTTCGGGTCTGAGCACAAGCACTGCCGTAACATTTTACGACACACTTAAGAGCCCCAACATACAGGGTGCGTTCTTTTAGGCATCGGATACAGCAGTTCTTGCAATGATTCGTTCTTTTAGCACAACTGCACAGTCGATTGCAGCGCAGATTTTCGTTCTTTTGGTAATAGATACGCAGTAGATACGCAGACGATTAGAATTAGCTGCGCAGCCGGCTACGTATCTGCGTGATCGTATAAAAAAATGCCCGTTCGGCAAACCCGATGCGCAGCGGCTGCCAAATCCGATGCCTTAAAAGAACGCACCCACACTTTTGCATAACGCATAAAGCATGTGCATAAGGAATTTCATTGGCCCATTTTCTTATGCATGAATCAATGGACCAATCAAATTCTTTATGTATATGATTCATGCGTTATGCAAAAGTCTGTGCTCCCCGCTTAAGTTATAGACGTAAATAACGCACAAGCTTTGGCGTATCGGCGTATGACGTGTTTATGCACGCTGTCGAAAGATATGGCAATAATGTACATAAACACGTCATACGCCGATACGCCAAAGCTTGTGCGTTATTTACGTCTTATAACTTAAGTGTGTCGTAAAATGTTACGGCAGTGCTTGTGCTCAGACCCTTCGACTCTTTTGATCGAAGTCGTGAGTTCGAATATCTACCGTTAGTGGCGGTTGCTCTCCCAAATCTTCTATTTCTCTCGCGTACTGTCCATCTCGTCTTGCCTAACTACAAAACTGGATACTTCACGAGGTAATTGACGATAATTGCCACACGCGTCAGCTACGTTATGGCAAAAATACGTTATACGCACCAATACGCACGACTAGTTTGTGGTAGACGTATATAGATATATATATATATATATATATGCATATTTATATACGCTTGTGTACATAACACGCGGATTGAGTTTGAAAAAAGATTTCTGCGACGTTTCCGACGGTCCCGCGCGAATGATCTCGTGCTTCGGACACCGCGGGAACATATTTGGGAAATACGACGAAGATGGACGTACCGCACTCCTTTGAGATATTTCTAGGTAGCTGTTCACAATAACGCAACATAACGGAAGATTATCCCAGATTCTCCTTTTCGATTGCCGGTCCTTTCCGGTGAAAGCTCTTTAACGTCGAGACGATTCGTGAGTTGTCGCTTCGAAAATGTCCGTGACCTTCGCGCAACGCGGCAGGCCACCTCCAAATCCTGCCCAAATACAAAAGGTAAAGGAGTCGATTGCAGCTTCAAAAAAAAAAAAGATTATGGCTATTACGGATCATTTATGACTGAAAGTTAAAACATAAAACACGTTTAAAATTGTAAGTATAACTATGTACATGTAAGTGTTTATCACGTTTTTTTAGATGCTTGATGAGAATAGCCAGCTTATACAGATGATTCAGGAATATCAAAATAAGGGCAAGGCACAGGAATGCATACAGTAAGTGATTGGTGTTAATGATTTTGTTTCTCAATATTTAATGTGTATATAGAAGCACCTGAGATCTAGTTTGACCGTTACGGCATGTTTTCATCAGTATTTATTGGTTTAACATATATCGTTTATCTCCTTTTTAATTCTATTGAGAAATGTTTCTTGTCATGTGATATTATACAGCATGAATGAAAATATTTTTTCTTATTATTGAGATGGCAGTCTTAAACTCATACCAAGTTATTTTTCAACTATATGTATCAAAAATGTTAAGTCATCTAACAATAATTGTTCCAAAATTTTTGTTAAATCAATTTGTATACCTATTAATTTTACTTTCAGGTACCAGCAAATGCTACATCGCAATTTGGTATATCTAGCGTCTATTGCTGATGTAAATCAGAATCTTCAGACTTTATTACCTGTAAGTAATAGATCTAATAGAACAAATAACATAGAACATAATAAAGTACATTTAATTTAACAAAATTGTTAAATTAAATGAAAATTTCATAAAGAATTAAAAATTTAATTAACAATCTTTTGGTTTCAAGCTACCTCAAGGTATTCCTAATGGTCCTCAACATGGTATGATGAGTCCACAAGGGCTTCCAAGTAATCCAGGTGGTGCAGCTGGTCCTGGAGGAGAAATGTCACCAAATACACAGCCAACAATGCCAATGTCAACATTTAATCAAGGTCAACCAATGGCACAAGGTTATCGCGGACCTGTGATGCCTGGCCAAGGACCTACCATAAATAGTATGTTATATTCTAATTTAAATTTATATTAAATTATAATTATATATGTCAATTTAATCTAAAGTACTTTTCTAACTCTACAGATTATTAGACATTTAAATTTTTTAACATTTATAGGACCTCCAACTGCACCAGGTCCACAGCAGTATAGAAGTCCACAAGGTTATCCTCAACAACCTTCTCCACAAGGTTATCCTGCTCAATACACTGGTCAGAATCCTGGATCAAATTACCAAGGTCCACAAGGATCTGCATACACTCCTGGTCAACCAAACCAGTATGGACCACCAAATGCTTCTCAACAGCAAGGATATAATGCAGCAACGCAACCAAATTATGGTCCTCCAACTACAGTAAACAGTTACAGTCCACAACCAGGTTATCCACCACCAGGTACGCCTCAGCCACCTTCAGGATATGGACCACCGCCGCCAAATCAGCAAGGCTATCCACCTTCGAACGCCTCACAACAGAATTTCTCATCAGGTAGTCAACAACAGCAACCAGGACAATATGGCAGTCCTAGCCCACAACCAAATTATCAGCAGCCTCCGTCCCAAACGCCATCTCAAAATGCATACGCTGCTGGACAACCCGGAAGTTATCCCCCTCCTTCTCCACAGACATACGCGAACAATGTCCCACCACAAAATTACCCACCACCTCCGACAACTAGCGCGACTCAACCCCCGCAACCTGGGTCGCAGCAAAACGCAGGTCCTCAGCCCAATTATGTTAGTCAACCAAGTCCAGGTCCTGGTGCGACGCAGTACGGTCCTGCCTCTACATCTCCGCCATTTAGCACCTCCTCCGCGAGCAGCAACACTTACGCCCAAAGCAGTCAGCCGACAAGCACACCATCTGCCTCAACGCAGACATATCCGCCGAATAGCGGTCCGCCACCAACATCACAGGGCGGAAGCTATGCGCCCTCGGTGCCACCGGCCCCCTCTGGCTATCCTGTTCATCAAACACCACATCCGACGTCGCATACCCCGCATCCACCGCCACCACATTCTCAGTCACCACATCAACCACAGCATTCTCAGTCACCACATCAACCACCGCATTCTCAGTCACCACATCAGCCACCGCATTCTCAGTCACCACATCAACCACCGCATTCTCAGTCACCACATCAACCACCGCACACTCCACATCAGCCACCTCATCAACCAACTCATCAGTCATCCCATCAACCACCGCATCAATCACCACATCAACCACAACAGCAATCTCAGCAACAGTCACAAACAGCTCCGCAGACACAACAGCAACCGTCTCAGAGTCCAGCTCCGAGTGGATTTCAATCGCCGTCTGGTCCACCACAAGGTCCTGCTCCACCTCCAGGCCCTCAACAACAACCTGTCTATGGACCAACTACTACACAGACATATGTTCCACCGACTCCAGGAGGGCAACCACAGGTATTGTTCGAATAACTTGACTATATTGACATAAATGATTAGTTTTAAATTTGTTTCATGACAACTATGTAATGTGCGTGCGTGCACGCAATTTTTTATAATTTTATTTATACAATTTTCTATATAGAATAAGAACACTTAATTTTATTTCGTTTTAAATTACTTGTGTTTGCAATATCTAAGAAAAATTGTATAATTTATATGGAAGAAGATAAAACTATTATTAATGAAAATTACTAAGAGCATTCTGAACTGCAGATTTATAGTCCTCATCCGCCACAAGGGGGACAACATTATGGACATCCTCAATATCCTCCTCAAAGTTATCCTCCACCGCCCGCAGGACAAGGATATCCACAGTACCCGCCACGACCACCGGGTGGCCACATGCCTCCTCCACCTGGACCACAAGGACCACCTCCACCTAATCAATATGGAGGTTACGCTTATCAGCCACCTACACAATAAATACATCAATAACTCCCAATTTACGTAAAATTTAGATTATTATGGATATCGAAAATAATTTTGTTTACATTTTTAGTTACTTTATTGTATGAGTATGTATTATTATAATGTAAATCACAATATTTATTTAGGTATTATGAATATTCATATTATGTAATATTCATATGAATATTTTAAAAGATTTAACAAAGAATGAGATTAGATAAAAAAAGATATGTAAAGATTTTAATTTAATCTTATATACATTAGATTAATGATAAGAAAAAATTTAGGACAAAATTATATATAAATTATAGAAGATGTGTGTTCCATAAAAGAAAAGTTAGATCTACATTATTTACAATTCTTTTAACAATATTCAGTATTTATATATAATTTTTAACATGTGGTATATAATATAAATAATTTATGTATAATTTTGTTTTATATTATGTTCGTATATACTTACATTAAAATAGCAAATTTTATTATTATTATTATTATTATTATTATTAGATATAGATCTCGGTAAAATAAATATGCCAAAATATTCCAAATGGCTTTTAACTCTTGTGGCGAAACTTCTAATACGAAAAACATAAATCATAGCACATAAGAACACTATTAGGTTTTTGTATAATTTGTCTTATTTTTACAAATTAAAAAGTAATATAGATACTTGTCAGACTTATTGTATTAAATTTCTTTATTAAATTTTATATATTTAAGATTTTTTTATGTATATTAAAGATGATAAACCTCAAATTCTATTTTTATCACAAATATATATGTAATTTTTTATTAATATGACAAGCATAAACAAATTGAAAGTCAAAGAATTATGTAACTATATATGCAATGGTACAAATACCATATAAGAATATATATAATGTTTATTCCAATCTTTATTTATACTGCTCTTAATTGATAAGGAAATATTTAATTTTTGAAATGAATATGAATATAAATTTTCCACATTAAATATTATTTGCAGTAGAATTCATGATATAATTGAAGAGAGAATATCACAAATCTCGTCACGCCTTGTATTTATCCCATAAATATTTTTCGAAAAAGATGTTGATAATTGTACAAATGACGTATCTTATTCGAGTTCTAACGACATAACATTAGATTAAATTAGATTAAATAAATAAAAAATGTATTAATGATATATATAAAAATAGCTAACACGATTGTATAATACAAGCATTGTAAAAGAAGATTATTAAATATTAGACAACTATCTTTTGTTTTTCAAGTTCGGGTTCATGTTTTGTTTTATTTTTGACATTAGCAATTAACTATAAAATCTTAATAAACAGATTGTGCATTTTTGTGTATCCATGATAGATGGTACATGTATGGCAATGCAAATTTTAAGTTTTCATCATATAAATAAATCATAGAAAAATCATGTTAAAAAAAGATGTTAAAAACTACAATTCATCTCGAAAGTTTGAATTTCTAAAATGACACTGACAAGAATGACTAGGTTGTGGTACTTCTTCCATGTTATTTAATATTTCAACTTTACTCTTTAAGCGTTTACTCCATTCCTAAAATATAAAAAATTGTATTATTTGACAAAGATATATATATATATATCCAGGAAAAATATACAAAATAGAAGTTTTTCCCATACATGAAATAAAACTGTATAGTAACATAATATATCACGTGGTAATAAATTATCCCTAACAAATTGTCTGGCAGATTTAACAATTCTCAATCCATCTTCATCATGCTCCTTTGCCCACATAATTTTTTTAACAAGGTCCGACAGGTCACTTTTTACAGGTACATAATGTAATCCAGGTGTAAGATCTTTATAAAAAAATTCATAATACTTGGATTCTTGCTTAAACACCAAAGAATCTCCGGCAAGTAAATATGGAAATCGATAAGCTGCTACTGTGCCATCAATATTCAATTGATATTTGTACTACGGAAAAAATCAATATTAAAAAAACTGTCAATATGAATATATCTAAAGTTTTTTTTTTCTTTTCCAATAATATAAATGTAGATGTTATATATTATCTATATTTTTAAAGCTTGTATATAATACAATTTCAAAGTTAATATATATCATAAAAAACAAAAAAAATTTGATAATATCACAGAACATGGTTTAAATTTTGAGGACAGGCATTGTGCTTATATCAGATGACATAAGATTGGAATAATGTAATTTTTAAAAGTATATGTAATTTCGAAAATGTTCGTTAAACTTGCCTTATTGTTAGTTCTATTTAATTTACCTTAAAAAAATTAAAAAATGATACATGATTTTGTGCAGGTCCATATTTATCTATTTCATCCCTAAAGAAAAAGAAATTAGTAATGGACACATTAAAGAGTTCTGGATGTTTTCTTGAAATATCTATTAAGTCAAGCCGTTCCCTTCTGGCATCACGTCCACGCCAAAATAATTGCTCAGTCTTATACTCCCATGGCAATCCATTACCTTGTACGGAGAGCATGTCTAACATTACCCTGTTTTTTAGACATAAAATAGAAGTTTTTCCCATACATGAAATAAAACTGTATAGTAACATATAATATATCGTAGTAATAAATTATCCTTAACAAATTGTCTGGCAGATTTAACAATTCTCAATCCATCCTCATCATGCTCCTTTGCCCACATAATTTTTTCGACAAAGTCCAACGGATCATATTGCAAATAAAACACAATAACTTAAATTATTATATTAATATTATCGAGGTATATACCTTCCCATCCCTTCTAAAGATGATTCCGTGATATCGTATGTAGGCATAACAATATCTTTCGTACTTTCAGATCCGCACCATGAAAAAATAGGGTAAAGCGGTCCCGAATCGGAAACAAGTGGCCAGTCGCCCAAATTCACGAAGAATTCAATATCTGGCAGTGTCACTTTGCGTGCAAGTGACAGCAATATAGCATCCATAAATATTTTAAAGCCAACGTACTGGCCGTAACATTGCCTATAAATCTAATTTAATCTAGAGTCAACATTTATAAACAATCATAAATTATAAGTTGGCAATATAACATGATATTTACTCTGTTAGATTTCAATATGTAATGACAAATGCTGACACTGGTTGGTCGATCATATCTTTTGATAATGCTTTGACGTACTTTATCAAAGTCGATATTTGAAAATGGAGACAGATCATGATGTATTTGAGTGTAATTTTGTTGACACTGGCAATGATCCAACCAATTAGTAATTGATGGATTCGGGCAGTAACATTCTTCCTCGTAAACAGGACCTAAACGGTTTTTATTAGATTATATAAAAATCTATAAGCTAAACAATAATGATACCTATATACTATATATATATACCTTTGATCTCTGAATGGGACACTGGTAATTCTGTTTCTTTAATTTTTACTTTAATTTTAACATTAAAACAGGTATTAAAAACTTTGTAGCGCATAATAAAACTCCCATCTTTACAGTCAAAGATTTGAGTCCATATGCGACATGATGCACCATTGAGGGATTGTCCATATACTTGCCCAGCAATTATATTCTCACCAGGAGATTTTGTTAAACTAGAAATATATCATATAATATAGTATAACATATATATAAGCATAATATAATACAATATAATAGATATATAATATTATGTATTATAACACTATATCATATATATATATTATACATTAAATAACTTATAGAAATATTATGAATTGCAAATATAGTTATAATTAGCTTTCAGAAGATAAAATCATTCCATCTAATTATTCTTTATTCCATCAGCTCTTTTATCATGCAATTGTAAATCTCAGAATACTATATATAAACAATCCTTTCTAGGATTTTAGTTATTTCAATGAATATTATTCAACATTTTCACAAATTTTTAGTATTCTTCTTTCATTATTTATAAAATTGTTTGACAATACTAACTTTCTTCCATGAGAATCAACGAGTTGCAAAAAGAAGTATCTTGCACGCATGGTAATTTCGGCTGGTTTCAATCCTGGGCCCCAGATAATTGTTTTCAGTGGATCTACATCAGTGTTTTTTGCTCCTATACAAATAAGCAACATTAAGAATGTTGCCAGTCTCATATTTGTAATTATTTAGGCAAACGCAATAATGTATATTTTCTCTCGCTTTGGTTAGCACAGTATCTTCGCTGCTACTGAAAAAAAATTGATATAATTTGTTTTTTTCTAAAAACTGATTATAACTTTATGAAAATTTTAGATCTTAATATATTTTTTACATACTTTTTTATATACATTTTTATATACACTTCAAATTTTTTTAGAATTCCTGTATAATTTAAAAAATTAAAAAAACATTTTTTTATCTGAACTTTTATACAAATTGAAACTTTTTCCAAAAATACTGAGAAAGTTAATTTTTTATCTTGAATTCTTTATGTACCTTCATAAATTTTGAAATATTTTTACGATTTATTATTTTATATAATTTCCAAAGAAACTTATATCTGGAGAAATCTAAAGTACTTTTCAGAAATCTTCAAAAATTTGAAAAATTTTTTAAACATGAGATATATATATATATACAATTTTTTTACTGAGAGAAGGTTATGATCATGTTTGTCTGTGAAATTTTAATTATTCGTATGTACAAAAACAAACGATCTTAATGCAATGATTTTATTACACTATGTTTATTATTTTCAAAAACTTGTTACTTACTGAAATCCTTAAATGTAGATAATTATTTGAATTGTTGTTTTGCAATTATTAGAGATTTTCTTTGCTGAGATAGGACTATTCCTCTAGATCTAAAAGTGTAATCCAATCAGCGCGGAAAAATTTCCAACTGTTGCAAAAGTAAACATTCTGAATTGAATGCACCCACACTTATCGATAACTGTCAATAGAATTAATCGATCAAGTCTTTGATAGTTAAAAATGATTAAAAAGTTCTTTATATTCTTAGGCTCATGCTTTACATACAAAAATTTATTTACATGATCAAACACAGTTTCTATTTGATATTTCTACGAAATTTCTTGAAATTTAATAACTTATTGCATGCTTTTAAAGTGACTAAATAAAAAAAATTATTGGAAATAATTAAACAATATCACGAAATTACTTTTGACAGATTTATCTCTTTGTATGCAATCTTAGGATAATACTTAACTGTTACAGGAATAGTTGAATGATGATTTCAGGTTAGTAGAAGAGAAAATTTGCTGGCAGAGACTGGCTAATACTGGAGTAATATGTACATTTATACAAATTTAAAAACATTTCGTGTATCTGATATATTATATTCATATATAATACCTATGAATATACAATTCAGTTTTAATCAGGGGTTACTCTTTTACAAATATTTTATATAAATAAAGTGTTGTTTTATATGCATAAATTACAGAATTAACTATATACAATTACATAATTAAATGTTAGCACATTTGTACAAGTATTAGTTTTTTAATTCATCTACTGATCAATCGTATTATGCATAAATATAACTTTTAAAGAACAAAGTTACATTTATGTATAGTACGATTCAATTATTATTCAATTGATGAATTAAAATACTTATATTACAGCGTTATATCATTCATTGTTGTATAAACAAAAACATTTGATTTGGAAGAACAATGTGGTGCTACATAGAAGAATCATTAGTGTTCCATATTTTTGTCTCATATAAATTCTTCCAATCTCAAGGTTTCCAGCCAAGGAAGCTATCCTGTATAACTATCTGCTTGAATATGCTGTTTGTCATAGATTGTACAGGCTTTCGATTTCGTTGAGCCTCCATGATGTACGAGACCTTTCCTCGCGCTTCTGCTCGCGATATGTCGCCCCTCAGGCCAAGCAATCTGATGAGATGATCCTCCGTCATGTCTGGATATTTTTCGACCAGTGAATGCAAATCGAGAGAGAGAATCTCTGCATCCTCGCACCTCAACACTTCAGCGAGACGTTTTATTATCTCAAACGGCGAATTAAAATTTCCGACTTTTGGCGCAATTCTGTCGAAGAAGTTCTTTAATTTGTCCGCCTCTGTCATTATTTTTGATGTACACGTTAGGCACTCGTCGTAGGTCTTCAGGGAGATCTTTCTCTGTAGCATCGCAGATATATAACGCTTTGCGATAAGATTCTGTGCTTCGGTGATGACGTACTCGAAGTTCTTAGGGCTCAGGTGATTGTAATCCTGAAAGTAATCCTCCAAAGTGACACAGATGGTTTCTACTGGAATAGGCGACGACAGCCATTTGAGTGTGATTAAATCCTGGAAATGCAGCTCCAGATCTAGGAAAGATTCTTGGAGTAGAATAGCTGCGGCTTCGTTTCTTAGATATTGATAGTTTGCCAAGAGACTCTCGAATTTCACTGTAATGTCACCAATAGTATTGGGAACCCAAAAAAGCTGCTTCATCTGCTGTGCCAACTCTGTGAACTGTATGCAGTTATTGACTATTGTGATCATATGATGAGTGAAGTAAGGAACCTGGCTTCTGTCTTCAAAATGCTTTGTTTTAAATTCTAGTATTGCCTGTCTATACATAGATCCATATTTGATCACTTGATCAATACACAAAATCAAGGCTTTCACCGTCAAATCAGAACTAATGGTTTTTGCAACTTGAAGATTTTGATCGATCATTTGAAATATGATAACCGGTGCAGCGGTATGGTAATATAGCTCCTGGGTGCTGCTGTCAGGCAAGATACCGCTTCTCCAATCAAGCTTCTCTGTTTCCAGCGTTTTCCTCATCCAATCCTCATAATTCTGACACATATTCCGCAGATATTTCTCCTGAAGATCATTTATCATCTCGGGACTAAGCAGTGGACCTATATCGGATGTATCGATATTTAATTCAGGATGCTGCATCAACTCCGGTCCTGTATAAGTATTCATAATCCATGCCAATAGAGAAACATATTCATTTCCTTCCAGTCCACCGGCAATTATATCCTTTAAGTGTTGGGACAGACTGGTATGATACATTTTGACAAAAGTCCTTACTATGTCATACCAGGGTGGAAAGCAAGGTTTGCATAGAGTTTTAACCACTCTCAAATCTTCAAGGATAAGAAGTCTCGTAAGTTCTAGGTACCTTACTAGCCACATTTTGTTGTCAACCCTCTCCTCTACCTGAGTCCCCTCAATTCTGTTGGCAACTGACTTTTCCAATACCTTCATTGCCATCTCCTTCCATTTTTTAGGTCTACCTGGCGTCTTAAATCCACTCTGCTTGTGTCTTTGAATAGCAAACTGATCTGCTTTCTCCTCCCTCTCTATAATTCTCAAAGGCGTCACTATGACAGTAGGTTCTTTCCTGACTGTGTTTAAAGTACGACTCAGTACCAGTTTTATTTGCTTTTCCATAAGCTGTGAAAGCATTTCCACATCTTCGAAATAAGCCTTCAACATAACCTTGTCAGCAGACGACTGATTTGGCAATTTGTGAAGCTCGTACAGTAATTCATCCCTGGAAGTTTCAAGATCCATCAAACTCTGATGCGCGTGCAGTAGTTTACCTTCGTTTATCCACTGTTTTGTCTTCTCCACGCTCTCAGGAACAGTGAATATATGCTTTAGATTTTCTTTCGCAATGACGTATTGAGAATAACGCATGTTCTCTTCCTGTACAGGCTGTAGCTTGGAGCTGAGCTTCACAACCGAGTTAAACAGCTGGTCAATATGAGCCAAATCATCTTTGGTAGTGGCAATACTTTCCAGAGAGCTCTGCAACTGCTCGAAGCCGACCCTGACTCCGTCCAACTGGCTCTGCATCGCGGTTTTCAGCATGGTCTCGACGGATGCCTTCTTCCTAGCAATCCGTCGTTTGTACATGTCAATCTTCTCCAGTTGGCCCGGTCGCTGCAGGAGATTCGCAACATACTTCGTGCCTCTGGCGACTGCCTCCTCCTCCAGCTTCTGCAAATCTTCCGCGTTCGATGTCATTTTCGACGATTGTGCTCAGTACTGGCCAATTATCGGAATTCTGGATTCAAGAGGACCTCAAGTACTCGTATTTGCCCGTACTAAAGAAACAATCCTCTAGGAACATTTCACAGAAATAAAGAAACAGCTGTTGCAAGAATAGATGAAGTCTCTCTCTCTCTCTCTGTTCTTTATTCTTGCACTCTCTGAAGTGGTGCACATTGGCTGAACTTTTGCACTAGTACATTCACATGCAAATGCAACTGTCAAGCGTTATGCCTAATTCATAACGATAACCAATAAGAACTCTGCTTTACATCGTCGTGAACGAAAACAAAGCTTTTATTGGATATCGCTCGTCGTTCATCGCTCATCGCATTCAGTATAAACTAGGCATTAAGCAGCAGAAGTCGCAACCAATTAGCAAGTCGATATGAGCAGTGGCGTAAAAAAATATTTTCTTCGCCACTGATCATCCTGAGTTTGAGATTTTTGTTCAAGGAATTTCCGAGAAATCGATTTGGAAAAATTTTCGGATTAGTTTATCATCATTATTCTGATTCTGATATCGTGATACTCTAATATAAACGTAACGTGATAATATATAATATTGTATATTTTTATAAATATGTTTGGATTATATTCAAAACTAAACGCAAGACCTTTTTTTAGATGACACATTTATCACAATTGGTTTCTCTTGGATTACAAAATATCCGACAAACTCTAGTGTCCTGCAATATTTATAACAATTTGGGTTTGTATATTTATTAATATTATTAATGTAATTTTGCGGCAACACTGAATATACTCGAAGAATCAAATCTGTCGAAAACAAATTTTGTCAAGTGCTTGTTGCAAATTTTGTTTGGCAGAAAATGGAAAAAAATAATTATATAAATACAAGAAGAATTTGGTAACAGAATAAAGAAATTTTCTGTTTGGTGATTCAAGTTGACACAAATATCATTTTATCTTTGTTAATCACTGAATGCCAAGAAAGTGAGAATAGAATCCTATAATAGCTTGAATATAGAAATCAAGCAAAATCTCTTATTTTTTAAGTAAAATATATAATTTAAATGGTTGATTGATAATGATTGATTCTTTGCTCGATTTCTACAAGCAACCTAATGTCAAATTTTATTGAGATTACATTGAGAGACATAATGAACTTAGGATGGACACAGTTGATGTCTATCTGTACCGATACTATTGAATTTGTCATAAACTACTAACGTATTTCTAAGATTTTGTTTATTTACGTATTAAGATTAATGAAAATTATTTCTTTTATTAGTGAAAGTATGTGTCAGACACGCTTCAAAGAAAAGCAGTACGAGCACTAAGAACAAGGGTGGCCATCCTAGACCAAAACACAGAGGATGGAAAGTACAGGATGGGACTTCTGTATATCCAGGCAGGTTATTGGTCAGACAGCTAAAAATGAGATTCCATCCAGGTCTTAATGTAAGCGTTAATTACTGTGTCTTTAATACTGTAAATTTTTTACATTGTTTTATATATATATTTTTTTATTTCATAGGTTGGTTTGTCACGAGATGGATCTTTATTTGCTTTGCAACCAGGCAGAGTGGTAGTAACTTGTGAAAAAGTTGATCTCAACTGGGAGAACTTTTGGGTTAAACGCGATTATGCCGGACGTGAAAATCAAGTTATATATAAGAAACACTTTAATATTATTCCCAAACCACAGCATAATACATTCAAATTAATAGACACAATTTAAATATATATGTACAAAAACATGTAAAAGCAATTTTTCGAATGTTTTAAAATCTCAATATTTAATAAATGTATCATAATATTGTTAACTAGAAATGTCGATATCATATAAAATTGATTATTCTAATCTGTACTAACAATTTATAATAGAAGTTTCCAAGTTGAGATATAATTAGAACTAATTTTTTTAAACCTATAATGCATGTCTTATAATTTTTTTGTGACGTGCATTATGTGTAGTGACATCCATAGAAATTACATCTCGTAAAAAACAATAGAAATATCCACAATATTAATAAAATATAAATATTTTTTAAATAAAATGTTATATCAGCTGTCTTCTAATACGCTACATTCTGTCCATTGAAAAGATTTATATTTTACTATATCTTCGTCTTCGTGATACGTAGCAAACACTAATGTTTTTCTAACGTGACAACTGAGTCTGCACTGAGCAACAACATCCATAATAGGTATCTCTTCGTCTCCGTGTTTACATTGTATGATATATTGTGAATGAAATATTATTGGATCACCTGTGAATAGAAAGATTTATTATGTAGCTACAGTTTGCATATCACCCTAAGGCACAGGGAAAAAAGCACAGGAAATAGAAATACCAGAATACGCAGTTTCGGATAGATTGAACTCTGTTATTTCTTGTTCTTATTGTCTGTGCTTATCAATTATATCTCAGGCTTTCAAGTTGTAGCGATATAAAAAGGAGCAAATTGTACCTGGATACACCAGAAAGTCACCACCAAATTTTTCTCCACTGGTGATATAATATTGCTTCTCCCAAAGATCTTTATACACCTTATATTTAAGTTGCTGATCAGATGTGAACGGATATTTCCATTCCACTATTTTTATATCATCTTTGTCAGACCATGGATATGCTAATATATAAGTGAATGATCAGAGGACAAATGTATGATTAAATTACTAAATGTATAATTAAATTTTTTGTACCTGTATGTATTTGAACGAGTGCATCATTTTTTTTTAATTTTGGCAATTTAGCCAATTCTTCTTCAAGCAAACTTTCAGTATCGATCTCAATATTATCCAAGGCTTCCTGCATTTTCTTATCCAATGGTTTCTTCATATTCTTTTTGCTTGTATGCAAGCCTAATATCTTGCGTTTTTTACCTTCTATAATCTTGTCCATCACAGAAGTAATCTAAAGGAAAATTTTTATCATACATCACTCTTTACAAAATTTATGTAGTCCTTTGTGTAAATATCTATACAAGTAACTACCTGTTTCTTTCTGTTGTCTTTCAAACAGTTTGTTTGCTCTAGGAACAGTTTGTCTCTGTACTCCTGAAATCTTTGACTTAATGATTCATCTGGCTGTGTCTTTAGACTTGTACACTCTACAAGGCAAGCAATTTTCTTTTCAAGCAATAGAGTAACTTCTTCTGGTAATAAAAGCAACGGCAGACCTAAAAATATTTCTTGTCTAGTTAATTTTGGATAAGAACCCACTAATTCACCGATTATTCTGTGATCCTGTCGAAGCTTCAGCCAATCTGTAATAAAAATAGACATCAAATTAAATAAATTATAGTAAATAATTATATATATTGATATAGTAATTCTATTTACCATCAGCATTCCATATAAAAGTTTTATTTCTTGAAGAAATAAGATATATACCATCTAGTACATTCATGATTCCTACAATTATAATCACCAATTTAGAGTTTAGAGTCAATGTTTCAGAAAAAAATGATATCGTTATATTACTATCAGAGGTAATTATTTAGATAAACTACAACCTCACCGATTTTAATGAAATTAATCTCATTCGACGCGTTTTTGCGCGAAACGAAAGAATCTGGCAGAAAAATGTGTCGCTCTGTCCTGTGAACCGAGATATTAAGCGTTAAAGTATTTTTTTTTTGTTTTGTTTTTATAAGGCGTCTTCAGCCCTAACCTATGGACTATATGGCGCAAAGAAGATCCAGTTTTCAAAGAAACACCAAAAATACGACAAAAACAACTATCTATAAGATAAAATAAAAATTTCAAATAATTCTATTGCTTTTCTTAACAAAATTATAAATCACTCTCAACGTTGACCAATTCTCAGATCTAATAAGCTCCAAAACATCAACGTGATGGAAAAACTCTTCTTAATCTCAATTCCTAATCTAACCTAAAGGTTTCTTATCGGCGGAACATTGTACGTGTTCGGTTTTTTATTATAAGGATGCACTCAGATAGAGTCCTAGATATCAGGGTATCGATCATGAAACTTCTTCATTTTTCACTTTTCATATTACGAATTTCACGTGAAAGTGTTTACGTGGATCAATCACCCACAAATTAAAAGTTATTTATAAAAAGGATATGAAATACATTCAAGCTAAAGAAACAGATTGAAAACAGATGTTTAATTGTTCTTTCTTTGTTTTCAATCTGCTCGTTTAGCTTGGATATATGTCATGTCCTTTTTATAAATAAACTTTTAATTTGTGGGTGATTGATCCACAGAATCCTACCTCAGTCAGATATTAGAGACAAACATCTATATAACTGATATGTATATACTGATGTACACGACCTACAGTTTAACGCCGAATCCAAACGGCGCTGATGATCATAGATCTTTTGATCACCAGGTGGAGCCATTTTTTGGCTCATTAAACCATAGGAGCATTACATATATGCATTAAACGCGAAAAATTGCGTTTGGTCGCACGTGGGATTGAACTCGGGTCTACAGATCGCGAGTCAATCACATGGAGCGGTGAGCGACTCGACGCCACACATCGAAATACAATACAGTTAGTATATTATACATTCTACTATTAATATGTATATATTTAAAAAAAAATTAACTAATTGCGCGCGCGGTGGACGCATAATTGTAAATCGTACAAATTATGTAACAATTGATTTATATTACAGAGAGCTATAAAAACGTATTAAAAAAGATGTAAAAATTTTAAATGAGATGTATATGAAAGAAGAAAGCACAAGTCCCCACATTTTTGGGGAAACGTTTTTTTCGAAACGTTTGGTGTATTTAATTAAATTATGACATATTCGCTATCATTATCTAGCGGGTGGTTGAATGCTCTACCTTTGTTTTTTGTTTTATTGCATATAGAACAAAATTACATATTATAGAAAGTAGAGTAATAGATATTTACTGTATACTTAAAATACCTCTTAATAATTATTCACGAAAATATGGACAGTCTCGATTCCGCAAAAACAAAAAGAACATGAATTGTTGTAGAAATAAGGAAGAACAGGCGAGAGGCGAAGGAAAAAAATTCGATCACAAGGAACAAACAAATAGTATTCATACACAATCTCGTGTATGTACAAATGGAAGTGAATGACTGAATGAAAGCTCATTGAACGCAGTCCACCCAAGGCGATCTCATGGAATCGTTCGAAACCTTAAACCGAACGTGTAGCCATTGGCCGATTCTTCCATGCATCTTTCGCGCTGACACGTGCGATTGGTCGGTCGCTGCGTATCGCGTGCCATGCACATACATACGGATCCTTCGGACCGGTTTTTAACCTCCGTATATGCAATGTGGCTGAATGTGGCATGTGCACCGCTCATAAAGGACAGTATTGCGGTCTGTCACTTCCCCGAACAATAAGTTTCACGGAAAGGTGGGGCAGGAAAGGCGGTGGGAGGTGGGAGTGTACATGTGTGTGTGTGTGAGGCGATCGCTAAACATCTGTCACCGTGCAAGCAGTGCGCCAGACAGCCAACCAGTCAGCCGGTTTCGTTTCAGTCCAAGTCCCCCGAAAAACCGCGACACACTGTCATGGCACCCGCTTTTGTGATTTTTTGAGACGCAACGCACGGCCGCGCGGGGCACCGTATACGCAAACACGACACGGCACCGTGCGCGCACGCCACGCAGGCTCGCACCCCCGCAATCGTCGCGCACGATTTCGAGACGGATTAGCGGAAAACCCACCCTCTTCCCTCGTGCTACACGGTGAGTGCGGATTTCTCGTCTGGCTGGCTCAGCGGCTTGTTTACTTGCCGCGGTCCTAGGGCCGAGCCCTTCGATACGAAGAAGCGCGCTCGAATTCACAGTCCGCTTCCGGGATATCTGCGCTCCGAGTTGAAATGAAAGTGGACCTTCTGTGAATTCTCGCAGGCGATCCGTAACGAAAAATTAACGTTTATTATTTATACTGGATTTATAACGATTGCCACCACACTTGTTTTGTGCTTCACGTTGAATATATATATTATGTAAATTTAGGACGGAATTTCTTATTGAGTGTACCGCGTGTGTATCAAATATTTATATATTTATTATATTTGTGTTTATTGTATTTTTAATTGTGCGAATCATGGGTATTATCTTGAAAGTTGCTGATTGAAATTGTTATTCGTATTTCTCATTTTGTTAATGATGTCAGTGTAACATATTGTTACATATGTAACATTTCAGGACTCATGATAAAATATTTAAATATGATGTAATTAATTGAATATTTTGAATGATTTTAGACTTTGTAGTGGCGCTAATGATTATGTATCTTCTTGTAGATAATAAATCATGAGCTCAGGTAGACCAATAAAATGTGTAGTGGTAGGAGATGGAACAGTAGGAAAGACCTGCATGTTGATATCGTACACGACAGACAGTTTTCCTGGAGAGTATGTACCTACCGTGTAAGTATATCTCTACTTATATTATTGAAATTGTATATCTATGCTCTCTCTCTCTCGCTCGCTCTCTTTTTCTGCTGAGAAATCTGCTTCTATATAATGGGTCATTAAAGGGATACCTTATAGCATGGTTTTTGTCTTAGTTTCTCTTTCTTAGACCAATCAAATGGAGTGGCTATTAATAGTAACAGAGCATAAGATACCTAACTGCTATGCACAGGAAGTAATTCATTTCCAGTCATCTTTTGGTTACTTCCTGTCCTTTGGATTCTGACAAATCTATTTTTGTTTAGCTCCATTTCATTCAGCAATATCTTTATTGGTTTACATGGCTCATTACAGTTAAGATACAAGTAGTGAATAAAATTTCTTTTTATTGATGTTGAAATGTTGAATAAAATACTTAATAAATAATGATGAACGAATTGAAAGCAAATCGAAAAATGTAACATTGAATATATGTTAAATCTGTAATGTTTTGTCTGGCTTGTATTTAATAGGTTTGACAACTATTCTGCACCAATGGTTGTTGATGGTATTCCGGTTAGTCTAGGGCTATGGGATACAGCGGGACAAGAAGATTATGACAGATTGCGTCCTCTCTCCTATCCTCAGACAGATGTATTTCTCATTTGTTTCTCAGTAACAAGCCCTTCATCATTTGAAAATGTTACCAGTAAATGGTACCCTGAAATAAAACACCACTGCCCAGATGCACCAATGATACTCGTTGGAACTAAAATAGACTTACGAGATGACCGTGAAACGCTTACTGCCTTAGCTGAACAGGGCCTTAGTGCTATTAAGCGTGAGCAGGGACAAAAGTTGGCAAACAAGGTATGTAGAAACAAATTGTTACTTTGTATGTATGTATAATTATTTTTATATCTTTTTATCTTTTTATATAATTTAGAATAGTTTAATATTAATAATACCATGTTTGCTATAGATTCGTGCGGTGAAATATATGGAATGTTCTGCTCTCACGCAACGTGGACTGAAGCAAGTATTCGACGAGGCAGTGCGTGCTGTTTTAAGACCTGAACCACAAAAACGTCGACAAAGAAGATGCATTATGTTATAAACGACAGAAGGAATTGAAGGGAATCATAGGTATACACATAAAATAAAGCAACAGATCAAAATGAATTTGATCATGCAAAGAAAAAATATGAATGTTTTAAAGAGAAGATAAATAGTACATGCATTTTAACGAATTATCCTCTGGCAGCTATAGAATATTATCATATTATGGAAAGAGTACAATTTAAAACTTCCTGGTCTCAACATGAGTCGTGATGTTAATTCACGACCAGAAAGTTTAGACAACGAGAAAGTAAGAAGAAAAAAAGGATAGAATAAATATTTAGCAGCATTTGCAGGGGAGGAAGTTTACAAGTTACAAGCTTGCAGATGTCTTTCCTTAAACTTGCATTTACATATATTTGCATAATATGTGACCATAGTAACATACAGTCAATAGTTTAGTGGAAAACCGCTCATAATTTTTTTTTTATATAAGAGAATCTCTGTTAATTAATATTGTAGTCCTGCAAATCGAATACAGTGTAAATGTGCTGTGATGATTAAAAGCATTAAGTATCGAAGCTTTACTTATCAGGGCTGCCAGATTTTTGACTTTTTTACATTTACAATAGTAGTAACATTTATTTTAGTACATTTAAATCGAGGTAGCTATCATAACAATCATATGCTGTAAAGTTTTACGAGATGTAAAACTAGCATTAGAGAATTATTTAAACATGCAGTGCCATAGCAACAAAAAATCAAATTTTACAAGCACCTTTAATCAATCAGTTTTAGACAATATATATTTTACTAACAAATACGGAGATTTAAAAAAAATTGTAATTAGAGAAATTGGAGTGCATAATGATTCTTTAGACAGAAGCAGCATGTTTGTCTTACTATTTTTTTTTTTTTTCGGGCATTGAAGATTTTAATTTTTATTATTACTTCCAATAAAAAATGTATGGTATGCATACATGATACTGCCATAAACTAAAACGAAAATTTCATAGTATTAAATAATATTATTAGAAAAAGAAAAATCGATAATCTTGTGTAATAATTACACAATTAAATTTGATAGCGATACACACGAAACATTTGTTATTTAGAATAGTAACATGTCTGTGTGTTAAAAAACGTAATAAACCGTTGTAACGGATGTAACAAAGTAGTGCAGCGAAAAACCAAGATTTGAAAAAATTAGATCATTTAGTTTACCCTCTATACTACTAAAAATCTCATTAATCTTGACCCTTGATCAACTTATTTAATTCATGTTTTATCTTGTAATTGTTTATCGAAAATGGAATTTGAAAAAGTTAAGACATTTTTTTTAGAAATTTTGCAGACAGACGAAAGAATGGACGAACGGACAGTCGGACCAACACTGTGAAATTGTAAAATAGTTATGCTGCGCTACTTAACGTATTGTGTATGTGCATTAATATTTATTTTATTTTGATAAATTAAAAACGAAAAATATCTTAATATGATTTTATATGTGTATTGCAGGAGTTCAATATTATTTTCTATTTATAATATAATGTTTTCTGTTTGTGCTTGTAATGGGATTTTAATATTGTACAAGTTTTTGCATTGATGCAATTTGACTTATTAATATTAATCGAATTTACGTAATTTAAATATTCTTTATAAAAATAATACTTAATCAAAAGAAATGTATAACAGTTAATAATAACACAAAACGCTGATGACAAGTACAGCGCGCGCAACGCAAAGTCCACCTAAATTGAAATATATAAATATAGCACAATGTATTTTCTTAAATACCATAGTATATCTCACTCTCTTCCATTTATTTGTATAAAAATTGTTTACATAAAATTTACAGAAGTATGATGATTTAGGAAGATAGATATCTTGTACAAATAAGTATTGCTATAAAGTTAAGCTCATATCACTGTCTCTAATTCATTATCTTATTAATCGATTAATTGAGATTGTATTTTTATAGTTTTTTTTCCTATTTATGTTTTGCTAAAAAATTGGGTTTTATTGATATAGATATAAATGCTCTCTAAAAATTCAATGATAAACCGTTAAAAAGGATATTATCCTTGTGATCATACTATTTTTTTATATTTAAAAACTTAGGATATAGAAAAGATAGGACCTTTGTGCCATATGCTTTCCATTTGTACATTAAATATCAAACATGAAATTTTTCATTTGAAACGAATTTTCAAATGATTTATAATATTTCAAAATTGAATATTGAATTGAAAGAAATTGAATGTTAACTGAAAGAAAAACACTTAATACCAGAGTAACTGAGAATGAATAACTACTAAAAGAATAATTTTACATCTTATTTTGAAAAGAAAATTAATAATTTCATGGAACACAATAAAAAGACTTTGCTATTATAATTTCCATCATTAATATTAATTAATTTTCAAAAACAAATTTTACAATTGCATAAGAAAGCTTAACGATCAGTGATTGTTTCGGCTGTTCTAGTCTGAAAATGCTATATGAGAAGGCAAAAGGTATATTACAGCTTTACTAGGTGTACATAAAATAACATAGAAGCATACTCGAAATTTTGATCAAGTCTACATATTTTAAGACGTCATTTCATGTCTAATTTTATACTCTTGAAATCTTTATGCGCCAATAGGTCTTATCATAAAATTATTTTATTAATTACTGCAGCTAATGTCTGTCTTTTGCTTGATTTGTTTGTGTGACACACGAAATAAAGTATAATATAATTGCTAAGTAATTACATATATAATTATTCATACATAATAGTAATTATATATAATTATTTAGCAGTAAAATATATATTTATATATCTACTTTCAAAAATTACGAAAATTGCTAGAATATTATCTAAATTACAAATATATTTCTTAAATAATTAATCTAGCATATTTTATCTTCATTTATGCAATTTAAAATAGTTTAAATTTTTTATATGTATGTGTATACCCTGCATATGTATAATGATGCATTAATTAAGCATAGTAATATACTACAATTACGTATTACAATACATAGATTATGTATTGTAATGCATAGATTGCATTTTTTGTAAGTAGTGCACTCTTATCTTACAAGTTTTCAAGTACTTAACTATACACGTTCTTTTATATTTCAAAATTCATTATCAGCAGAAATGCAGCAATATTTGTCATTTATAATTTTAGAACTGAAATTGAATAAATTGAATAAATTTAATTATAGAATTTTCATATTGAAACAATAACAATAATGTTGCTAACAGGATGGGTGGGTGGGTACATTACTATACAGTATATCTAATGTCTGTATTTTCTAATGATAGGCTTTAATTTGGGCATAATGTAATTTAAATTGCACTACTTACAACTTTTGCATTTAACGGAGATCGTATAATGCGAATTACTTTCTCATCTCTCCTCTTTTTAACGAAATCATCGAGGGATTGCTATGAACCAAAGTTATATATTACAATTTAAGATAATATCTATGTTTTTTATTATGGACTATTGCACATAAGTATAAAAAGAATGAATGTATGAAATGTAAAGATATTCTAGTCATCACGAATCAGCTTTTAACTTTTATTTGTGTATGTGAATAATGCTCTCAGATTGCATGTAAACAGAATAATTCCTTAAACAGAGCAATTTAGCGTGTGAATAAGCGAAACAGGAAATGAACACAGAAAGAAAAGGGGATATGAAAGTAAAGATGCAACTTAATATTGTCAATTTAGATAGAACGCAAGGAAACCAAACGATGAGAGTAGAAATTCTGTAGAAATTACAAATATATGTATATGTGCTAAGATATATAACTTTAATTATGAGTAATTTATAAACATTTGTCTATTTTCGTATATATAATGAAATTCGTTATTTATATACTAACACAGGACAGCATAAGAGAGCGTCCCATCACTATTACAAGAGTTTTTTAAATCTACTAATTTACAAATTTACAACACTGAGATACCTCACGTTAATTTTGTAAATTTACAATAATGATATACCTCATATTAATTTTGTAAATTTACTTTACAAAAGAATATATGTTTCTACAACTGTATGTATATTTTCTATGCACTCTTTTGCTGTCGACTTGATAGCGTATCAGTAAAATAGTGGCCTCAAAATTAATTTCCATTATCTCGTTTTCCTTGTGGAAAAAAATTCATTAACAATGACGATTACAATGTAACATGACTACATAAACGCATATTCTATGGCACTAGGAAGCATTTATTTTTTATTTACATGTATTTTGAAAACAACTTTTTCAAATAAATGATACAATAAAATTACGAGATAGCATAGTTTATACTGTTTTAAGCTATATGTACCTATCTTGTTATTCTTAAGAAATTTTTCAAACATTTTTCCTATCTTAATTTAAAATTACCATGTTTTATTAATATTTTATAAAGTTTATTTTTATATGTACAAATTATAGAACATTTTATTTAGTAGCACTAACGTCTAGAAATTAGAAAAATAATCGTTTTCATTTATTTGATTGTATTTAAATCATCAATATGTGTGTGTGTGTGTGTGTGTGTATTTTTCATCTATATTTTCCATTATTATTGTTATGAAAGGGATATACAGCTTTTAGTTCTCTCGAACTTTTTTTAGTATTTCTTTTGTGAGAAAAAATTTTTACGATGTCTCTTTCCAACTCATTTAAATCAACTGTTTATTAATATTCAGTGGAAATATTTTTTAAAGAATTATATTAATCAGTTTATAAGAGAGTAATCAGTATATAATATCAGTATATTAACTTATAATAATTCTTATCAATATAGCGAGAAGGTAGTACATCCAAATTGATCATAATAATTTCAAATTCATAAAAACTCAAGCAATTCTTATTTCACTAAAACCGTGAACTTTTAAGTTTCTGTGATTCGGGAATTACTGACGGCGAATAGTTATTTATAATAAATGTTCCTGTTATTTAATTAATGAATTCACCATAAATTCTCATGGATTATAGCGAAATATTAAATAGAATTTGGTTACTAAAAATTACTATAGGTACATGAAATTAACAAAGTTAAATATAGATATTATAATTTAACTTAATTTAATATATTTAAACTAAATATTTAGTAATATATATATATATATAATACTATTACGTTTTTAACGAAACATGTATAGATACTACTTTATTATCAAAGTTAATTATATATTGCCATTATATTTAGATACTTTCTATAAAGCAACCTTTTTAACGTGTGCTAATCTAGAATGACCGAATTTACTATTAGAGAGATCACACCTATGCACACCTTATATGTATATATGGATACTTGCACACGTGGGACTGAAATAGCACAGGGCACCTCAATGTTGCTAGCCAGCCCTGAATTTGCCACGTGTTAGATGAAGACGGTATAGCCCGTCTGGTTCTGTCTGTCTTCGTTCGTTACGTGTGTATGTAGTACAGTGCAGTGGATTAATTCACTGAGTTCTAGTAGTAGTCTGACTTATCGACTCCATTTAAATTACATTGAATTGACAACTAAAATGATCCACGAATTGATGTTGATTAATGTACATACTGTACTGTACACGCGTGGAGGGGATGAAGCGTGTGAGACTGAGATGGACTGAGATGGACTGAGACAAGACAGGACGAGAGAGCACGAGAGAGAGCCGAGGGGGGTAACCGTTGCGATCGTGTGTATGCGACGTCGTCGTCTGTCGTCGGTGGTCGTTCGGTCGTCGTCCATGCTATAGCATCATATAGCACGTCGATCGGTGGGTAGCATATACGTGCATAAGCGAAGTGGTGTAGAACGTAGGGCGTAGAGCAATTGTGTGTGAAGGGGGCGAGCGCTGCATCGCGGATACCCTCTCGCGCGCTTGCCGGAGTTCTCGTTATCGTCATGGCTCCGAGCGCGTGGTCCTTCCGTGGGAACCTCAACCGGTTCCTCGACGTGCCGATCTTGCAGTGCCTGATCGTGCTGATCAGTCTTTTCAATCTCTCCCTGTGCCTCTACGAGGACCAAGTTGGTAAATTCGATTGGTAAGTAATCAATCGAAGCAACCTCTAAATAATGCAGAGAGAAGAGAGAGAGAGAGAGAGAGAAAGCGCCATGGAAATATTATCACGAGGCCGGTTTCCTATGTGTTGTGTGTCATCTCCAGGGTGAATTAATCCCTTACGGGTTTTTTCAGGAGGCAGAACTACGTTGGAAAAATTAAATTTGCCAGCTTCGACACGGTGTCTACGGCGAAGAAGATAATTGTCGCTACCGAGGAGAACGTTATTGCTGCGCTTAATCTGAAATCGGGTAAATAAACGTATTTACGATGTCTCCTTTTTTCTTATCTTTTGCATGTTACTTGCACCTGTTTGTATATAGAGAGCATATGGCACTTTTTATATTTCCAGTTTCTTTAATTGTCTTTATCACCATTTATATTTGCTCGTCTAATGTAATAATTATAATGATTAAGCACATTTTTGTGTGTACCGATATTACAAATTAAACATTATTTCATGACAAGTATTGTTATGTAAGAAATATAATTTATTAGGTCTCAAAATAAATATATTATTAATTAATTTTATAATGTAATAGGTCAAATATTATGGAGGCGAGTTCTAGAAAAAGGTTATGGCGGACATATTAGAACTCTAGGAGGTGTCGCTGATGGAGACTTAATATCTGTGAGCGGCGGGGTTCCTGCTGTCGTTCGTGCCTGGGATTTGGCGACTGGGCATATACTTAACGAATGGCCAATAGCTGAGCCAAATAGTGACAGGTTTGTATAGAACTATTAAATTTTTATTGAAACACAATATATTGCAAAATTCTGTTTTAATAATATTAAAAAGAAATAATGAAATTATGTGAGAGATTTTATTTCTAAATAATGTATACTGTATAAAGATAGGGACATATTTAATCGTCTTTTAAAAGCTGGTAAAACTTAATTTGCTTACAAAAACTATGTAAAACATAATTCATTACTTTTACAGACATGCATCTCCGTTTATATCGTTTTCTACATTGGGCTTGTATTCTGCTGACAGGTCTTCTCATTTTTATTCAAAGCACAATCAATAATATATGTTTTGTACACCTAGTTCTGTAACTCTGTGCTGTTGTAAATTAGGTTGCTTAAATTCAGCATTTTGTATTTTTATTTATATAATCATTAATCCATGTCAAATAACATACACGCATACACACACACACACACACACACACACACACATAAAATAAGAGATAAATATTTAAAGGTTTTTTGTTGTGACAAAAAATTATCTTTCTGGTTGAGCAAAACTATGAAGATATCTTGATGTGTCAAGTATTTATTTTTAGAGGATATAATTGATAGTTTGTTTTTCAGGATAAAAGATGTAAAATGGCATATAAAAGATGGAACGCTGCATCATATATTACCTATTTACAATAGCGGAGTAGAAGTGACATCTTATGACAGCAAGACTGGAGAAAAATTGAAGACTCGAAGAGTCTCGGCATCGTTTATAAGTCGTGAAACAGAGTAAGTAATTTTAGATTGATTAAATTTATGTTATTAGTTTCATAAATATCTTATCCGTTTCAATATTTAAAACACTTTTATTTTTGTTTAGATGTGTTTTAGCAGCTCCATACTTAGCTTGTTTGAAAGGGGATAGTTCCTTAGCTGTAGTATTTTTAGTACATCTATTCGATACTAATGCACAGTCACAATCAGTTACAATAAATACAATATTCGGGGCTGGTGCCCAAGGGCCATACAAACTAGAATCTGTACTTGGTGAAGGACCTGTAATTTCTATTAATGCCGATAATGACCAAAGAAAGCGAATTTTAGTTATCGGAGAATCCCCGACTCCCATACAGAGAGACATCACTGGTGATGCAACTCTTTATGTTGTCTCTGTTGATAATGAGAAAATACTTTTGGAAACAACACATAAAAATGGAGTAAATATTAAAACGCATTTTTTTCTGTTTCTAAATAAATTTATTGATGTAACTTCTTTACAAATTTCCTATTATTTTACTTTTAGAAAATAGAGATAACAGCGACGAATCTGTTATCATCTGCACTTATACCTGATTTATCGGTTACTCTGACTCACTCTTCTATACAATCACCAACCATAATGGCTTCTGTTTGCCCACGACAAACGAAAGGGATAACATGTCGTCATTTGTTATCTTCGCAAGATCATAGTATTGCGCTGTTGCAGCACAATAAACTAATATGGACAAGGGAGGAAGCACTTGCCAGTATTGTGGCTGTTGAAATTATGGAATTGCCTATGTCTGACAGGGATCAAGCTATCGAAACTGAATTCGATCAGAAAGAAAGTAAGTAAGATTATTTATATATAAATATTGAGTATTAAAAAGTTGAAAAGGATTTTTTATCCCCTATTGAATTTAATTAAATATCTTCTACGTAATATATTTTATATGTAACTATTGATGTAAATAAATCTTATTTCTTTTGTTACTGAATGAAGGAAATGCTAGAAATAATATTTTTGTTAAGTAATTATTGTAATATACATATATCAAATGTATGAAATATATAACTCTTACTTATACTTTCAAGATATAACTTACATTTTTCCTAAGTATATCAAGGTCGATGTTCATAGTTAATTATTATTTCAAGACGTTTTAAGTAATCATTTAAGATTACATGATATACAGGGTGTTTTCAAATTCGCGCCTGCGAAGTACAAGGCATCATACTTTACGCTAAAAGAAACAATTTTTTTCTTTTGCAAAATTGCGTCTGACAAGTAGTTTTTGCAGGAAAGCAGGTTGAAATTAACGAATATGGCAAGTGAACGAGGAGCCCGCGTTGGCCCTAAGCGTCACATAGATCAGAACGCTTATTTGTTAACTTCAACCTGGTCTCCTGCAAAAACTACTGGTCAGACGTAACTTTGCAAAAGGAAGAAATTGTTTCTTTTGGTATAAAGTATGACGTCTTGTACTTCGCAAGCGCGAATTTGAAAACACTCTGCATATACATGATTGACTTATGACATTTTAAGACTATATTTAACACTTACTGTGATCTTAAATATTAGAACCAGTTGTGAATACTAAGTTGTTATATTTAATTTTGTAAAATTTGTATATGAGATAGGATGTCTTCAATCTATGTCTAATTATGTATTATTTGAAAGCTACGAAAAAACTTATGTACTGTTTTTAATAACACTCTTATATATTAAAGCGATATATTGTTTATCGGCATAACACACAACAATTCAATAACTTCTAAAATAATTTCTAACAGTCTACTTGTTAAGTTATATTAATTAACTCTCTTTTGTGAATGGCTGCTGGCAGGTATTGATGTAGACAGTTCATGTAAGTAGTGGAGCGGGAAGGCTGGTTTTAATGCAGTACTTTGTGTTATTGCTATTTACGAACTTATTTGCATGGTATAACATTTGCGATGTATAGGCTCATAAAGATATTAGAAGATGCAACGCGTGTATACGTGTGATTACATAGAATACCCCAAAAATAATACAATTATTTTATGTAATATAATATATCGCTATCTGCATGACATATTGCAAAAAGTAAAATTTCCACATTTGAGTATTTGTTATGGTTGAGTTCGGATGTAATAAAGTATCGTGGAGATAAATAATGTAGCAATTTCGTTGATACATGATAACCAGCTGTATAAAATGCATGAAAACATTTTTATGACTTCCATAATTATCATATGTATGTACCATATATGTAAAGTCATTAAACCTGCTGAAAAAAAATTTCATAACGCAATACAATGGCTTATAATAATTATAGCATATGTAATTTGTGCTATTATTCTCTCTTAGACATCGTCTAATTTTTTATATCTTCTGCTATATCATCCAACCCACAGATTTACAATAGTACAGTCATTCGTGTTTTCTAATATATTTTGCTATATTATTTTTAAACAGGGGACGTTCTAAGTATGTTTCTTCGAAGGGTTACTTCACAGATTAACCAAGCTAGAGCATTCTTTCAAACAATATTGGATTTGGTACCTCAACAATCCAATCAACGTATTGATCTGGTTCAAGATAAATTTGGCTTGCACAAAATGATCGTAGCCGTTACATCTGCTGGAAAGGTACCTATGATTTCATGTAAATTATGAGCCATCTTACATTACAAATTGTTACATTCTAAACTGCCTGCGCAGCTGTACGGTATTGAAACTAGAAAAGGCGAAATTATCTGGCAATTCAGGCTACCTAATCTCCGTGGTTTCACAAAATTGTCTAATACAATGATTTTGTACGTACAAAGAGGCAGTAGACATTTTCCTCATCCACCACAATGTGCATTATTAGCAGAAGACAAGGTAAAATGCACATTTATGTATTACATTCAATGGTAAATATGTGTTCACATTCCATATCTGACATACTTACCCTTATGCCGTGCAATAGGAAACCGGAGAAGGTGTTATATATACTTTTAATCCGATTACTGGACAGTCATTGGACGGATTAGTGAAACTTGGTTATAAAATAAAACAGTCTATGTTATTACACGTAGGGACCGACGACTTTTTGCGTGGTATCCTCATTCTTGATGTACGAGATAAAGTTCATGTTTATCCTGATAGCGCTACTGCAGTTGCAGCCTCACTCGGGAAAAATATATACCTCTTTACTGCTGATCAAACAACAGGAATATTATCCGGCTTCTCTCTTTCATATAGTACAACTCAGGTTTGTTTCATGTAGATATATATTTAGTATTTAGAAATTTATATATCAATTTCATTATATCGATAAGTCTTAATCATTTTAATGATTGATGCAGGAACTAATCGCTCACAAAGTATGGGAGTTGTTGCTGTCGCCGAGAAACCAAAGAATAACGCAAGTCATAGCGAAAAATCCGATAGAACGTGTGCACTCCCAAGGAAGAGTTTTAAGTGATAGATCAGTATTGTATAAATACATTAATCCTAATTTAGTGGCCATAGTAACAGAAGGTATCGGACATGCCCATAAAAGTAAGTATGTTCTTGACTATTATGATGCAAGTCTATGGCTACGGTCCACTTGATGCTACAAATGTTTCGAAGCTTTTTTTATTGGTGAATTAATAAAATTGTTTTTTCCGATTAATCAATTAAAAGCTTCGAAGCATTTGTAGCATCAAGTGGACCGTATTATTTATAGCACCCTGTATTATTTATAGGAAATACATTTAACATTTTCTCATTTTATATACAGATACGCTTAATTTATATCTATTAGACGTAGTATCTGGGGCTATGATTTTTTCTATTACGCACAAAAGAGTACGTGGTCCAATCCATATAGTACACTCGGAAAATTGGTTGGTATACAGTTATTTTAATGAGAAAGGACGTAGAACAGAAATCGCTACGTTAGAGCTTTACGAAGGAAAAATACAGAGCAACACCACAGGTAGAAGCTATTTTCAAGCCTTATATATATTTATCTGTATCACAAAAAAAGTCAATTGATTATGTTTATTAGTTCAGTACTGTTTTTTTTTTATCATGGTGTTTCTAAGGATCACTTATATCTTAGAAAATATCATACAAGGATATCGCCGATAAAGTTTTTATTTTTAACTGAAATTTCTATATTAAACAATTAGAATTCTTATCATCAAATTAATTTTAAATATTAATCATATTTTTAAAATCAAATCTATATCATCAATTTAATATAATATAACGATTGTTGGATATTTCAGTGTTCTCTTCTTTAGCAACAACAAAATTGCCAATTGTAGAAAGACAAGCTTTCATTTTTCCGGCATCTATAGAATATATGCAAGAAACAATCACAGAAAAGGGTATCACTAGTAAACATATAATAGGTATGTAAAATTATGGTTTGATAAATTAAAAAAAAAAGGTCTCCAATTTCAATTATCTGAATGTGAAATATAAATTAAATGTATGTATACATACATATTTAATTGTGACATTTTAATATATTTCTAACAGTCGCTTTAGCCAATGGTGGAATATTAGAGTTGCCGTGGATGATGGTAGATCCACGACGGCCTATTAATCCTGAGATGCGAGAAGAAGGAGTAATACCATACATGCCAGAGATTCCAGTCCATACGGATGCTATTATTAATTATAATCAAAGCGTTTCTAGGGTTATGGGTATTCATACTAGTCCTAGTGGCCTTGAAAGTACTTGTTTAGTTTTTGTACATGGTCTTGGTGAGTATAACATTAAGTACTTGATTTTAGACTCGAATTTTTGTGACTTTTCACACAAAATGATTATAATATTTACAGATCTATTTTATACAAGAGTGGCACCATCTAAAACATTCGACGTTCTAAAAGAGGACTTTGATTATTATCTTATAGTAATAGTACTCGCGGCGCTATTGATCTCATCGTACGTTACGAAAAAATTAGCATCCCAAAAAGCTCAAAAGCAAGCATGGAAATGATGCCTTGTTTTTCTAGAATTGTGTAATATTTATGAATCTGTTCATTATAGGTAAAAATTTTTCCTAAGAATAACTTGTAAGATATACTGTTTTATAAATAGCTAATTTTAAAACACAAGGTAATTTCTTATACTTTATTATCTTACCTAAAAAATTTTTCAATCTTAAATCCTAAATAAAAGTATACATAAAATCTATATATTTTACTTTATTAATATGATACAGAACGCACATATGGGATGAAAAAATTTTTCGAAGTGTGATGATCAATGTACGTACGACAAGAGGACCATGATCATTGATTATTAAATTACATTAAAATAACTAATAACATGCTCAAGAATAATTATTTCTTTATATTAAATGTTCAGTAATTTCTGTAAAAAGGTAGAACATTTCTTTCATCATTTGGATATTTTTGATATAAATCGAAGCAAGAATTAACAATTTTTAGACACTAATCTGAATAAAATTATATTTCCAATACATTTTGTGCAGTAAAAATATTAAAATAATGAATATGATATTGATAAACAATGCTAAATGAAGATAAATATTTGTTTAATTATGAAGATAAATATTAAATAACGCAAAAAATGTGATAGTTATATTAAATACGATAATGTAATTAACAAATGAATATTTTAAAATAAGATGTAATACGAATAGATTGAGCATTCTTATGAAATTGTTATCAGTTTAAAAATAGTGAAGCAGATTGAATCATATTGCTTCCTTTCATTTTTTTTCTAAAGTATTGAGATGAAAAGAGATATGTTCCATTCTTTTTAATGGAATACAGATGCTAAAATCAGGAAATGTGCAATCTATATTTATTACGTTTGTGTAAAATAATTTCATTGTCACGATTCCAAAATTTAAGCGAAAATTTGTGAACAACGATGTGTTTTGCACCTTCGTAATTCTTTATAATGAAATGTCACATGTAACATGTTTATGCATTTTACACATTTGTATATTTCAAATTCCTTACAAAATGTCTTATAACAAATTTTCTTAACAGCATTAAGATTTACAAGAAATGTAATTTTTAGAAAACAACAAATTTTCTTATTGCTTAGTTGAACAATTTTTATATATACATATATACATCTTGAACTTTTAATTTATAACTTTTAACTTTCATTAATTCATTATTTACACTTTTACATAATTTAAAAAATTAAGACACTAAAATTAAAAATACTTCGAAATAGCAGGTTGAAAAAGATTATATTATAATTACGTTGCATTTATATGTGCATTTTTCTTATTTGAGATAGTACACTATTGTCAGATTAAGGAAATGTTCAAGAATTCCAAATTTTTTATTTTGATTGAAAAGCTAATTAGTAATTTAATTAGCTTTTCTCAATTTTAAATCGAACAAAAACGATTTAGCATGTATAAAATATTGGAATTCATAAATATTGAGTTGAATTAATATATAATATTTATAGTGAGGTGTGTGCGTGTGCATGCGTGCGTGCCTGTGTGTGGTGCGCACGCATACGAATGTGTCAAGAATGCAGTATTTGTTATTACATATATGTTGAAGTTAATTTGAAACTGGAAAGATTTCATGTAAATACTATAGATCTATACATAAGGCATATGTACGTATGTATATCACATATATATATATATATGTGTGTATATATATACATACATACACATACATACAGAGCACCTTACACATTTTTGTTTTATAATGTATCGCTTTGTAGATAGTGTGTGTGTAAAAAAAGTTATTGTATGTAAGTTATTGTAAACTGTGAAAAAATTATAAAATGTTAGAATTATGTACAAATAAAAATTTTCTGTCACAAAATTCTTCATTCTCTCTACGTACAATATATACTATAAATATATATAAATATTCGATAATTTAAATAATTTAAATAAATCCAACAATCTGTTTCTTTTCTACTTGATGAATTAATATTAAAATAATTAATATTTGCAATTAAATGTAAAGGAATTTTGTAATTGAATTTTGTTTGGAAATCTTTGATTTAGTATTTATCACATTTTTAAGACTATTACAATTGCTTTTCATATATTATTTTATATATTCAAGTGAATATTCTGTTGAATATATGTAATGATTTCATTTATATTTTTGTAATATTCGTTTGACGGAGCAACATCTGAAATCTGAAAAGTAAAATAACATAATACATTACACAAAACTAGATTTTAATTCATAAAAATTGTAGTATTTTATAATTAAGTGATAATATACCAGCAAATGTTTCATATTGAATGTTGCATCGGATGCTATTCGTGCAACTTTTGAATTCCAAATACTAAGACATTTCACCCACACGATATCTCCGTTATAATCAGCAATGTCTTTGTACAATTTTACACAGCACACCTTTTAATTAAATAACAAACAGTTAAAGATTTATGCATATACAAAAATATACAATACTTTCTATCTTCATTTTACCTGTAATGCAGTATGTTGACGTGTACTAAGGTACGATTGTGTATTACTTAATATTTGCCATAATTCATGTTCACATAATTTCAGGAGCCTTGCGATTATTCCCAATGTAGATAACAATTCGTATTGAGATTTGTAAATTTGTGTAAATTTGTAAATGTTTACCGAGCTTTTATTAATACTTTCTTTAGAGGACTTATCCAGGAATTGAAATATGGATGGTAACACTTCTCTGTGTATAAAAGATTAATTATGGCATTACGATACACATTTGATGTATATTATAACTACTTTTTTACAATATATTAGAATAAAATGCGCAAGATATTTTACCGTAGAGTTCTGCTTCTGATGAAGTCATTCGATACGTTAGCGAGTACATGCAAGAGCTGCCATGCATGATTAATAATAAGTACATTTTCATCGTTGAATCTGTCGATCAGTGGATGCCATAACTGATGCACAAGAGGTAATAGTTCATTTTCCCATTCAACCAATATCGGTAAACCTTCTTGAAGCGTTTGCATTGCCATCAATGATTTTTGTACATCCTTCAAAGGTAGAAAGTGTATACAACTTTTCATAACTTCTATGATTATCTTTATATGAGTTGGTAAATTTTTATCAGATTTATCTAGAACATATAACGAATAATAAATCAATTTTATTTTGATCTATAAAAAAAAAAATATATATATATATATATACCTTTTGCATTGGAATCTGAGTAATCTTCGTTTATTTCTTCTGGTAATTCAGTATCTGGTACATTTACATCTGATTCTATCTCTTCAATGTCATCCTCTATTTTTTCATCTATCTTTTTTGCATTATAGTATTCTAACAAAGAAAGAATAATTGCTTCCGAAGAATTACTTGTATCTCGTACATCTTCTTTTATTACTTTTGTATCGTCCCAATTTATTAACGTTTTTATGCATATGATAAATGTGTGAAATATCTTCAAGAACAAATAAGTGTCTTTTTGGCGATAAGGAGTACTTAGTTGCCTAAGTACATCTTCTACAATTCCCTTTAAATGCGGCAAAAAATCCATTCTGCTGTACTTCATAACAACTTTAATAACGTCAAATACGCCAAGATTACGATTTAGTTGGCGTAATTTCATTATAATGTGATAAGAAAAATAATCTACGTTAGCACGTAGCAGATCACCGATCGTTTTGTGTTGTTGTGTTTTTGCAACATTTTCGAGAGTACACACTCCAATATAACTGATTAAGCCATTTCCACTACCTAAAAATTATCCCTAATTTTTACTCATTTGTAAAAAGATTTAAGCTCTCTCATTGTCAACGACATACCTGCTCTTTCAATAATTAAGTACAAGATTTTCAGAAGATACCTATCAAAGTCAAGTTGTAAATTTTGTGCTATAAGACCTAATCCTTCGGTCAAAAGGCAACATTGCACTATATTGCTCTGTGCTTGTACCAAAGGAGTATCTTCAGTTACTTCTGTAGGCAAGTACCATACTTCCTGTGTTATGTAAAAATCTATGATTTCTTTATATAAATATGAAGAAGATGAATCTTTAACAGAAACTAAAACAAAATTTAAATATTAATAAAAGCCTATATTAGTAAATACTTCTTCAAATACATATACATTGTTTGTTCTACCTAAGATCCAGTTAAGTAGTAAACTCAGTTCTTTTCTGTGTTGTGGTGCATCCATCATAAATTCGAGAATAGTATCGATTAATATTCTGAAATCTCCAAATTCTTGAAGCAACTTGCATATTGTAACAAGTTTCTCTTTACATAAGTTACTTTTAATAAACTTAAACTGTTTCCACAAATCTGATCCATAAAAATATGCAGGATCATCTAAATCTTTTACGTTTGCTGTCTGTAGAAGAGACACGTTGTTGCAATCTATGACCATAATGTATACAAGAGCTAAAAGTAATCTTTGCATGTGAGCTTGAGATCTCATAATATGAGGCAATCTTTGCGTTCCAAATAATCTTAAATAGCCAGCGAATTGATTCAAATATACTAATTGTTCGTTATCATCTAAAAAATACAGAAAGGTACACACACATAAGTTTTCTATATATTTATGTTTAATAATTATATTATATTTACTAACATAAAATAAGAAATTTTTATAACTTCATACTATAAGAGAAAGATCTTACTTGATCGTCTAATAATTGTAGGCAGTCTTGTAAGTAAGCTATAAAACTTATCTTCTAATGAATCGATTAATGATTTCATATCATGATTTTGCATGTAATTTTCACTTATTGTATGCAGCACAGTGTGCGCTTTTTCACTAACTTCTATAGATTCGTCTTCAGACAGAGAAATCAAATAATCTATTAGTGTCATAATATTTGGTTTCATATTCCTACAAAAAATATGTATATATTTATTTAAATGTTATAAAATGTAGAGACAAGAATAAATAGAAACACAAAAGGAAATTTTTTACCTGCGACAATTTTCAAGTATAAGTCTAATACTTTCAACTAGTTCTTTCTTAACTTTGTAGTGTGAATGGCTTCTAACTTGGTCTAACAATTTTATACAAGAGCCAAGCTTAATAGCTACAGCTTTGAACCATTCTTTATTTCTTGTAGCTTCTTTTAAATTATGTTCTATGTTGCATTTTTCATTATATTTCACATTATGTGATATATTAGTGGCTATATTGCAATCTTTTTTAATAAATGTTTCTATGGATAAAGTATCCTCCTCTTCAGTGTTTTTTTCATCCTTATCATGGACTACAAGAGATATAATTCTCCCCCATGCTCGAATTGCTATCTATGATTGTATAATATAATTGTATAATATTTAAAATTACTGTATAACTTAAATAATCTTTCTATTGAAGTGTTTTAAAAATAGTTCAATTATATGTAAAAATTTCATATTACCATTGTAATTTTATGATTCTGAATTTCACTTCCCATTGCTATTTCCTGTAATCCACCGACAATACCAGGGAAAAATGCCATAACAGTATTTGCTACTTGATCTTGTATAATGATGTCAGATTTATCCATCTCATCATCAATATGACACAAAGCCATTACTGCATCAAGTCCAGCTAATCTAACAATTTGAATCAATGCTAGTATATATTTTAAGATGATGTAGTATAAAACTGAAATGTGTGTGTGTGTGTGTGTGTGTATGTGCGCGCGCGCGCTAGATAACTCATTGTCAGTATTAAAGTAATGAAACAAAAAGATCAATTTGATTTCCATGTTTGCTACCCCCTCATATATTATTATAAATTTTTAAAGTAGAAAATATTCCACTATAATAAAAATAAAATAATAGACATAAATTTAATCTGAAAGTAACTGAAATTAAATAAATTGTACTGTGGTGTTTTCGAGAAGATATAGAATCTTGCAAGCAGTAATATAAATTTTAGAAACAATATCTTCCAAAGTAGAAATTGAGAAAATAAATTGATAAAGAGTTTACATAATTCTTTCCCATAAAAACTGAAATTATAATGAAATTAGTTGAAAGCTTTGGTCCATCCAGGATTGCAATATTCTAAAACTTAATAAAACTAAAATAATACTATTCTCAATATACAGGATACTCCTGGGTTAAACCGCTAAACTTAACCTGGGAGAGCCCTGTATATCTTTTAAATACTTACTTTACAGAATATGACTTTTCAGTTCTTGCAATTGTTAGACACAAAAATATTCCTTGACCAAGTTGCAGTATATTTTCTTTAGTATAAAGTGATTCTATCACATCAGAAATGCTTCGGTGGATGAGATCTTTAATACATAAAGCTACTGCTTCCTTAAGTTCCTCATGAAATAATATCACTGTTAAATTTAAATGAATAATTAGATTATATATACTGTTGATTATAACATATATTTATTTCAATACAGATACCTTGGTTAGGTTGATTTTTATCAAAAATCTGAATTAGCAGAGATCCATAAATATGGAAAAAGATTTTTAATTTTGTAATTCTAGTTTTTTGTATTATAACTCTCATAGTTCTTATCAGTTCCTCTTTTACAATTATGCTGTATACGAAGAAATATATTTGTCATTTATATATGATTTGTGACAAAGTATTTCTATATATATATATATATATATTTCTTTAATTGTACATAACAAAAAAGAAAGCTTTACTAAATTACCTTGTATTACTTTGCAAGATGGTGATCATAGGAAGTAAACAGTACGCTGACAATTCGTGCATAGTTTTATCAGGAATGTTACTAGCTATCTCTGCGACTCTACGTGCGTAATCTTTACTCGGATTTTTTATTAAGTTATCGCAGCAGGACTTTAATTCGAGAAAATTTTGCATATTAAATTGCTCCATTTTGATATAAACGTACGTTGAATACGCGATTAGAATTGGCCGATTTCCTTATGCTTACTACACGTTTTACGTCCTTACGGAGTTTTATGCTCGTAAGAGCTGGGCCGAGAAAAAATTTTTCAAGCGTTCCACCGGTTACGGGACTTGAACCGAGGTCTCGAATCGTCCATAATATTAGCAAGCAACCGTCTCCTCGCAGAGTCACACAGTCTGACGGCAGGAACAGTTTATACCTTACATGTGTAAAGTCCTTTAAATTCTTCCTAACCACAATACACTTACACAATAATAATATACTTGATCTCGCGAGATGACAACACAATGTTGGAGAAAAAAACCTTGAATCAATTAATAATACTTCTTTTTTTATATATCTAATTCTCAAAATTTGCTGATTTCTCTGCAGTTTTTTCAAGATAAGTAGTTCTTGTACATTTCATATAAATTTTATTCCACTTGTACTAGTATGTATTTTATCTTCTTTCTCGTCTTCTTTCAATAGACTTTCGTACCTTAAAGTCACGACACGTATTTAAAATTTACAACTGTTTACAATTTTAAAATCTGCACGTGCAATCAGGATTTTGTACAAATTCGATTTGGGGTGATTTGGGAAATTGCAGCATGTAGGTGCAGTAATGCTGTTCCTTTTTGACTGAACTTTTGCACTAGTTCATCTTTCTTCCTTTTTTCTCCAAGAGAAAAGAAAAGGAAAAATGATGAATTGGTGCAAAAGTTCAACCAAAAAGAACCTTTTATTTTTTCTGCCCTTTGTTTTTGTTCTTTGAGCCGAACTCAGTGCGCACTAGTGCAGTCTACCGAATTTGCCATTAGTTTTGAATTAATTCGTTCATTTAAACCGTTCGTTCGCGAACTACCCATAACCCATCTCTAGAACAGAACCGCTATCTCATGCCGATGCACACACGTGACATTTAAAATATAAGAACACGGCGCAAATATTTCATCTGATGATATTTAAAGATGCCGATTTTGGCACTGGACATAAGAACAGTAAAATTAATTACCACTACGCAAATAATAACATCCGTGTACGCCGTAGTGAAAGAATTAATAGAAAATTCAATCGATGCTGATGCAAACAATATCGAAATTAATCTTGTATGTAAGCCAATATAATGTCATATATTTATGTATTTGCATGATGCTTTCTAAGGAAGTACGATATATTATTATATATATTTATGTACCTTTATTTACATTTAGATAGATAATGGTACATCTTTAATAGAAGTGAAAGATAATGGTTACGGCATATCTAAGGAGGATACACCATTCATGGGATTACCTTCCTATACGTCTAAAATAACAAATTTTGAAGATCTAAGTAAGGCTTGCAATCCAATCTACAATCTAGTCTAATTTCCATCAAATCATTAATTCACACCTATTGGGGTAGACTCAACACGTTCTTTTAGAATCTAAATTTAAATCAATGGAAATTCATTGATTACACTTATTTCATTTCTGCTTTATAATCTACAAGATCTCTACTTTTAATAGAAACAGTACTGTGTACTCCATCAAAATAAAACTGAATCTGATGACTTCAATGAAAACTAGACTAATATTTTATTTGGTGGAAATGTTTTTAAACCACAGTGTAATGATAAGAACTAAACTTCTTGCATCATTAATTTTTTTTCTTTATCTTTCCAAAGTGGAGAGAAAAGGAAGAAAGATGAACCTGTATGCAAGAACTTTAACAGACTTAGTGTAATGAAGCAAATTCTTATATCTCTAGTCTTGTATCACTTCTAGATGTATTACGAACATTTGGATTTAGAGGAGAAGCGCTTAGCGCAGTATGTGCAGTAGCAGAAGTTACTATTATAACAAAAACAAAAGAAGATAATGTTGGAACTTCATATATAATGAATAATGATGGACAAATTGTAAACAGTGAATCTTGCCATAGAAGTATAGGTAAAAAGATAACTTATCAGTTCTTAAACTTCTGTAAGATATGTCATAATGTGAATATAACAATACTCATTGTATGTATTCGTAAAAAAATGTACTAATTTATTGTATATCAGGTACTACGGTACAGGTAAGAAATTTATTTAAGCAAGTGCCTGTAAGAAGACAAATAATTATGAATATGAAAAAAGCTAATCAGACTATCAAATTATTGGAAACTTTAATGCAATGCTTTGGGATATGTAAACCAAATGTACGAATTCAATTTAGAGTAAATAATAATGTTATATTTACTAAACCAAGTCTAAATAATATCAAAGAAGCTATGAATCATATACTTGGTAGAAAAATTATGTCTAGCATGGAATGGATTGAGTCTAAGGATATAGAGGTAGGTATATTCTTGAAATTGTTTAAAAGTTATTGTTATTCAACCAAGGGTCGATTGTTCCATCTTTTGGTAAAGTTTACCTGTTAGGTAAGTAGCAAGATTATTCAATCGCGTGTGCGGATTGCCAGATTTACTTAACAGGTAAACTTTACCGAAAGATGAAACAATTGGCCCTAAGAGAGATACATCTAGTTACAATTAACAACTCTTCTGTGATTTATATCATTATTTTTCAGTTTACTCTAGAATTAATGTTGCCTTCAAGAAAGGTAAAGGATTTATCAGAAATTTCTCATTCTGATTTACACTATATTCTTGTAAATAATAGGCCTATTAAGCATAAAGATCTTGAAAAGGTATGTTCTGTTAAACATTATTATGTTTAAACTCAGAAATAAAAACTAAATTTATTACAAATCTTGTTGCACATAAAAATAATATAATATTCATAATAAGATAATAATAATAATTTATAATAAGATAATAAAAAAGCATATATATTTTTATTTACATAGTTAGTAAACAATCTGATATTACAATATTTTGAACAAGAATCATATAGAAAGAAAATGGTATTTCTTGTGTATATTACTTTGAGCCCAATGGATATTGATGTCAATCTAGAACCAAATAAAGATGCAATTCTTTTCAAAGATCAGGTAAGATTAAAAATTTAGATAATATTGTATTTAATATTAAAGAAAAATATATTAATTTTTTTCATAAAACAATTGTAATACTTAAGTAAATTACTTATATAAAATATATGATATATGTAAAATAATGGTTAGATAAATATCTTTATTTCAAAACTTTAAAAAATGTAAAACAAAATACATACATAAATGTTACAAATTATATAATTGATATTATAGAATAAAGTGCTTAATGCTGTAGATAAATGTATAAGAAAATTCTATGGACTTAAAGCTACAGACATCACTGAACAAAATTTGTCGTTAGACACGTCTGCCTGTTACGAGGATTATGCATCTAATTTAAATGACAATATTGCTGATGTTGAATGGCCTGCATGCAAAAAACGAAAAATACAAGAGAGAGATGTTCAAGAAAATATTGTCAAAGAGAAATCAATACTTATTAGTGATAGTAACGAACATAAAAAATCTCTTCAAAATGAGCAACAGAATGATAATGAGACTCGTAATCAGAAACATCACGAAAAGGAATTGACTCTAATAACTCATATACAACCACCTAATTTGAGTGATTCTGATTCAAATGATACCTTTCCTACCACAACTGTGATTATGGATAAGATGTTAGTACATATAGAATATTATTAATTGATACATTAATTTTAAAATGTTCTTGGTTTTTCATATTAATATATCAATATTATGATCAGTGTTTTAGGATCGGTCCGATTTATTATCTAGATAATCATCTAGATGGTCATAATATTGATATATTAATATGAAAAATCAAGAACATTTCAAAATTTTATTATCTAGATAAAGATAAGATAAAGACATTGCTTTATCTAGATGACATTTCTTTATCTAGACAATTTTATCTAGATAATGGAAAATACTGATGGTTATGATATACAAGAATCTGGATAACTACATAAATATTAACGTAAATTACAGAATAGACGAAAAATTAACTTTGAGTCAACTACCTGTAGTAGATCTTGGTGAAGATTTTGACCTTACAGAAGAAATTGGAAATTCTGATATTTCCATGAATAAAAACGAGAATAAAGAAAACATCCAAGAAAAAAAGCAAATTACAATGGAGACATGGAGTAAAGGACATGTCAATGGACTCAAGGTGAAATTCCAATAATTTTAGAATGTTTATTAATCTTTCTTAATTTAATTTTGTCTTGGAATTATAGTACAATTAATATTATTGTCAAATGCAACAGGGTGGTACAGATATCAAATCAGATATTGCCATTGAGAAATCAAATGACAACTTAAATAATAAACTTGATGAAATATTGGAATCAGATAGAGCACATGTTGATCACAAAGATCTTAAATTTTTAAAACATGTTAGATTACAAGGTATATGATCCAAATTATTTATTGTATTGCTTGTATATATAATAATTATTGTATATAAAATGCATAATAAATCACATAGATATATGAAATATTCAAAATTACAATATTAATAACTATATTGTGTTTAGTTGCAAAAGAAAATCCTACATTAACAACTGCAACCGAAACTGCAAGAAAAATTACCGACTTTTGGAAGCAATTGTCATCTGAAGAACGTGGTTATTATCGCGATATTGCGCAAGAAGAAGAAAAAGAACATCAAAGACGTGAAAAGGCTAAGGAAAAAGTCGATGCAAATAAAATAATCTCAGAAAAAAATAAGAACAGACTTCTGCAATTGTTTGAGAAAATGAAAAACACGAAAAATGAAAAGAAAGAAAACTTAAATATGAGGACAATAGTACCTTGGATCATCGACAGAGCTAAGATAATTACAAGGTTGAGCTTATTAAAGATTGAATGATATAACGTAAGATCTTTTATTTTATATACTGATACACACTTTATTGATTAATTTACAGATCAGGTTTTGAAAGTGAACACATAATAGGTCGATTAACATCCAACTTGTGGGTTGCTACAATTTGCGAGCAGATGTGGATTGTTGATATTACTGGTCTGATGAAAGGTTTGAAAGTTACCGATATCGATACAAATAAGGTACTTATTAAATATTTATTATTTTCCATAAAAATTATACTGTACAAAAGCGTATAAAATTTTTTTTCCATGCTATTATTGTTGTGTTATTGTTGTTATTGTTATTATTATTATTATTATTATTATTATTATTATTATTATTATTATTATTATTATTATTATTATTATTATTATTATTAGCAGCACTATTTCAGATTGATGCCAAGAGAATCGAAAGTCTTCTGAAGCAGTGGTTAGTAGAACAAGATGATATGTCAGTAATGCATTCTATATACAAATTCATGAAAAACGTGTAAATATACTATTATTGCAGTTCATGTATATAAAAGATAATTTTTAACTAGATAATTTTTTATAACGTCTTTATGTACATAATATGTTTAATATGCAAAAGAATTTTGATTTATTAGACATAATTGAGGTAAAATTCGTATAATTCTACAACTGTATAAACAGATAATAAAATATGTACAAATAATAAATAAAGTAAAAACCAACTGTAACAAACTTATACTGTTTTTAGAAATTTATTTTTATTTAGTACATTAATTGCTACCACACACACCACATACATGGAGTCTTCTCTGTTCCCTGTTCCTTTTATTCTGCGCAGCCCTTACAATGAGCTTACAGCTCCTAACATGTTCATTGGCTACCGTGTCACATTTTGCGCGGCAAGCGTTTCCGCGTCCAGTCTGCTGGAGAGCCAAAAGAGTCGCGCGTCAAATGATACAATAAAATAGGATGTTTTGATTGGTTAACTCGTAACGCGGCGGACGACGCGACGCGTGCGCGCTCATTGGAAACGTACCATAAGTTGTCCTTCTATTAAACGCCATTTTGTTACATTTTCTTTCTCCATTGACTCCATCCTCCATCTTTTCATTTTCGTTACTGTGCGGACACTGCGGACACGGGTCATTTCGGGAATTAGATTTTTCGTAAAATTTTAACAAAATGGTGAGTTATTTTTTTCAATATCATGTTTATTTAATAAGGTAAACTGTAATATACACAAATAATTAATTGAAAACTATCAAGAAAGCGAGATGCTTGTTTTCCAGAGAGATTCGCTTGCCTCATGGTTAGAACGGTTAGAACAAATGCCTGTCGATTTCTCGACAATTTCTTTCATATATATAGTTTTAACACTTTTAAAAACATATTTTTAAATATTTATATTTAAAGATCATGTTTTTACACATTCTGTGAATATTTTTACATTTTGCTACACATGGAAAAAAAATTTTTACATATAATAAAAGATCTTTTTCTTTACCTAAACTTCTATAATTGGTCTATCTTCTTTTTCTCTCCATGTTGAAAGAAGAAGAAGAGATAAATGGTGCAAGAAGTTCAGCTAAATAAAGAACAAGCCTAAGATTAATTATGAACATAATGCTGATATATTATTAGATATGATTTAAATATACTGCAAATGATACATTTATTAGTAAAAGATAATGGCTTCTATTCAGAATGCGCTTTCAACAATGTTAATGTTCTAACATGCTATAGTTCTCATTATGCATACTATAGAATTTCTGAGATAAAAGCGCTCTTTTATCAATAAAAATGCGTTCTGAATACAGACCAGTATGAATATTGAATATATATAAATTTTCTATGATGAAAAATTCAGCTCACTTTGATATAGAAATGAAAAGAAAATTTTATCCTGTGGACTTATTCTGAATAAAGTAGAGAGCAACTTGAAACATTTGATTTTCATTCTTATTTTAATAATTACATTCCCCTTTATAGGGTTTTGTCAAAGTAGTCAAGAACAAGCAGTACTTCAAACGGTACCAAGTTAAATTCAAGAGGCGTCGTGAAGGAAAGACTGATTATTATGCTCGTAAACGACTGACTATTCAGGACAAGAATAAGTATAATACACCTAAGTATAGGTTGATCGTACGTTTGTCCAATAAGGATATTACATGTCAGGTAATTTAAAACAATACACCTCAATTCAATTGAATTAAAAAAAGACTCGACTGGTTGGAAACAGTATTATGATTTCTATGAAATATATATCAAATTTATGTAAAGATAATTACATTTAATGACATATATTATGTAAGGTTGCCTATTCAAGAATTGAAGGAGATAGGATTGTATGTGCTGCTTACAGCCATGAACTTCCAAAATATGGAGTTAAAGTTGGTCTTACCAACTATGCATCTGCTTATTGCACTGGTTTGCTCCTGGCTAGGAGAGTAAGTAACGTTTCTCTTTTTACTATATTTGTATATTTATATGCTATTAACATGATGATCTACTCAGCTCGCTTTGATATTTCTATGAAGAAAACACGATTGTTCCCTGTTGTGTATCCTGATCAGCAAAAACTAGCAAAAAAAACTTGTATAAAATAATATCAACAATTATAATCAAACATAAAAATTTTGTTACAGCTTCTTAAGAAGCTGGGATTAGACACCTTATATGTGGGTAGTGCACAAGTAACTGGCGATGAGTATAATGTCGAGGAATTGGACGATGGCCCAGGTGCCTTCAGATGTTACCTGGACACTGGATTAATGCGTACTACGACGGGCGCCCGAGTTTTTGGTGCTATGAAAGGCGCGGTTGATGGTGGTCTTAATATACCTCATAGGTAATAAAAAATGTTACATACTTTTGTTGTATTTTTCATATGTATTTATGCAATATTTAATATGTTGCTTTAGCTCACTTTTAATATTTCTATAAATAAAACACAATTGTTCTCTATTATGTGTATATGTAGTAAACTGATTAGTAAAAACTATCAAATATTTATATAAAACAATATTAATTGTTATAATGAAACATGGAATTTATTTAATAGCTTTTTAAGAAGCTAGGATTATTTATATTTTTTATATTAATTTATTATACCAATTTGATAATTTAAGCTTCAAAAGTACTTCTTTTTATTCTTATAGATAAAATCGAATAAAATACAAGTTATAAAATCTCAAATCAATTCTGTACAATAATTGCTCAATGAGACATAAAACACATGTTAGTTTATGACATGTGCATCATTTAAGTTTCTCAAATTTGTCTTTTTTTTTGTTTGATAATGACTGTTGTAAAATTTCATGTAAAATAAAATAGGATAAATGTCTTAATATGATTTTTCATGAATACTTTATTATTTCAGCTGCGCTTGAATAACATGATTTGTGTTATAGTGTCAAGAGATTCCCTGGCTATGATGTCGAATCAAAAACATTCAACGCAGATGTGCATCGTCAACACATATTTGCTCAACATGTTGCAAACTATATGAGAACTTTGGAAGAGGAGGACGATGAAGCTTTCAAGAGGCAATTCTCACAATATATTAAAAATGGTATCTCTGCAAATGATGTAAGTAATTGCAATACAATTATGAATATATTTACAACTTCAATACACATACGTCCAATTAAAAATTGCTGTTTAGACTATTCAAGTCTACATAGCGTCGCAATTGGACAATAGGAATTTTCATTGGTTGTTAAATGGTAAATGCATATATTAATGTGTTTATTAAAATAAACCTGTGTTACACGCGCGCGCGCACGCACACATACTATTGCGTAAATATAGGTAATTAAGATAAAAAATATAGACGGTGTATCTTTGACCAATTTTGACTTTTTTTTCTGCAAGTTATATTTTGATAAAAATTCAAAAAAATTCTAAAATATTTTTTGAAATGTTGACAATAACATATATTTTTTATAGATTTAAATTGTTATCTTTTGTTAGCTTTTTTAACATTAGAAAGAAATTGAATTTTGGTTAAAGGTACAACACTTGCTCATTTTTTATTTGTTATTACTTTTATAAGTTATAAGTTAAGATTAATGGTATTAAATTTTAAATAACCTTTTCTGAATATCTATTTAACATTTTAAGCAATTCGAACATAAAACAAAATGCATATACAACATTTTATGAAATTAAAAAGCATATTGAAATTACTTCATTCGAACACTCGCGAAAACAATAAATTATTTTTCATAGGAGTATAATTCTCTTCATTATTATGATTGTAAGTTATAAAACACCTCTGGTGCTCATACTACAAATTACATATTCTTACTTTTACAAATATCCAATAGATTTTTTATAAATTCAAATGGTCAAAGGAACACCAGGTTTCCCTATAAATAAAACTTTTTTTTTAATAGATTGAGAATATATACAAGAAGGCCCATGAAGCTATCAGAGCTAATCCAGAACACACGAAAGTCACGCGAGAAAAACCAGTTATCAAGAAAAGATGGAATCGCGCAAAATTGTCTCTGTCCGAGAGGAAAAATCGCGTGGCCCAAAAGAAAGCATCTTTCCTCAAAACCTTGGAGGAAGCAGAGGTGTAACCATTCTTCCTTCAAGATTATTTTTGCAATATATACACAAATTTATGTGTATTAACCGATCAAGAATAAAGGAACTGTACAAAAAAAATATGATGAATCTATTAATTATAATTGCGTATATATATATATATATATATATAATTTATACAAATATTTATTTTTAATAATTTCCTAAGATACAAGTTGACTTCTTAATCAGAGAAATTTGGTTTATTAAAAGCTTTAATTTTGTCGTATATCAAAACTTAAATCGATTTAACATCCATCTGCGATTCCACCACATAAGATCCATTACTGAACATAATGTCATAATTAGCGCGAGATTAATCTTGTGTATCTTGCATTACGCTTCTGGTTAATGGCATAGTCTTTATTCTTTCTCATGCTGTCGAATGACAAACGAATTATTTTGCATGCCTAATTTATTAATTTTTTTTTTTCATTTGATATATATATATACAAAATCTAGATAGTATACATAAAGAACATTTTGCATATTATATATTATTTAAAATCTTCAATAATACTATTTTTTTAATATATTACAATTTTTGATATCCTAACGTAATCAAATTCAGGTTATTTTGGTAATTCCATATTGTATTTTCAAGATTCACTTAATATAAAATTGAATGTACGGTGTTTCTCATTAATGTACAACTGGATGTGAATAAGTAACATTTATTTAAGATAAAAAGATTGGTAGAATATCTTATGCGATTTTAACGAAAAAGTGATAATCTGCTACGAGAACCAGGTAACCGACCTTGTGCGTCAAGCAAACCATTTTGAATATCCGCCATGGAAGGTACAGCCTTCACTTCGCCGCGTGCCGCTAAGCAAGGTGCCGATTTCAATAAACGTCGCGCTACTCGGTTGATGTCATCCTTAGATATTCCGTCTGCAAACATTGTGTTTTTTATAAATATTGAAAACTGGAATTTTATTAAATTGTAAAGAACACTTTACAGAACTACCAATAGCTTTCATGAAGTATTCTGGCCGTTTCCTAGTACCAGTCGCTAGGACTTGTCTACCAATGTCTTCAAATACAACGGGCCGTTGTTCTAGATTCATAAGCAGCATCGATTGTAATTGTTTCTTGGCTCTCTACACAAAAGATAAAATCCCAAAATGTAATAAATATATGTATAAAATACGATTAATATTTAATAATTGAATCAGAAATGTGAAGCAATATCATACCGCTAATTCGCTATCCGAGATTCCGCTTGTCATGGTGACCATCTCGTGTACAATTACTTCTACCATATCCTTGACATGAGACGGTGTGCATGAAGCGTGAATACAAAATAGACCAGTGTCTGCATAAGCATGATTGTATGCAGTTGCACTGTATAACCAATGATATCTACAACAGTTTTCTTAATGTAGCGTTCTTGATTAAAATTTTCAAAAAAATTCAAATATAATTTGCAATCTATTACTTGTATATTTCTGTTATAAATATAAATTACAAGCTTACTAATTTTTATAACATTTTAATTACCAGTTAATAGGATAAGATATAAAAATATATGGAGTAAAAAGATATAATTATTTTATATTATAAATTATATAAAAACTTCTTCCTTTATAAAACATGAATAAATAACATTAATCTTACCTATTCAACACATTGGTGTACAAACGTGTGTACATGCCCTTTCCAGGACCACCAGCACTAAAACTGCCACCGCCTCCCATCATCATATTTAACACACACATAGCAACAAAATCTGGATCTTGATGAGAACAGCCCTCTAAACCTATTACAACGTGTGATAATTCGGGCAAGCCACTAGGTCCCGCATAAATTGGCACATTGCATTCCTCCTATTAAAAACACGAACACACATTGGTTATTTATCTTTTTCAGTCGTGCAATAAAAATAAAATTATTTTAATATACTTTATACGAATAATTATACCAAAATATATCCTCCACTATATTGTGCAATGGACATATCAACAGTATTTGCATTATTTGGAAAAATAAGATCAGATTGTTCCTCCCAAATAGGTTTCTGATCTACAAAATATCTAAATCAAAGATTATTATTATTATTATGTAACCAAAAAGGTTTCAAAAATGTTTATTATATATCAGTATATATATATATATCACACATGACAACATATTACATAAAAATGATACTAAAATACATTCTCACATTGAAAAATCTACTACATTACAGACACTATTTATAAATTACTTAAATTCTTAAAAAAATATTTTTAAATAAATTTAGAAGCATTAAATTATTTAATAAATTTTTAATCTATATAGAGAATTTATGATTATTACTTAGTAACAGCATGGACCAGGTCGTCATGTTCAACACCAACTCCAGCAACTACCATTCTATTTGGTACATAATGATGCTTGAGATACGTATGTAAAGTTTTCCTATCAATCTTTTCAATATTCTTTTCTGGACAGATCTTGGGTAAACCTAATGTGTTTTGTCTATACGCAGCCTACCAATATAATATATAATTACATCTTTCTTTCCTTTATAATAAATACACTTATAATTCCATTAGGATATATTTAGAACTATTATTTTGAACTTACAGAATGAATCATATCCATTAATATAGGCTCTTGTTCTGGCCTGGTATGTAAAGATTCCAATTCAAAATGTACCGTTTGTTTAGCTATTTGTACCTGAAAATAATTTAGCTTCATATAAATATGTGCACATATAATTTAATTAAACAACATTTAAATACTAAATCTTATAGGACTATACATGTGAGAAACATAATCAATGAGAAATTGCCTTTAACAGTCGAGCTGGATCTTAAGTGGTATTATAATTTTGTGTGAATTTATATAATATATTACGTATGTAGTCTTTTAAATCGTACGCCGAACAATTTTTTGTTCTCTGTATGGAACTACCGCAATATATAAATTTACACGAAATTATAATAGCACCTAAGATCCAGCTCGTTAAAGGCAATTTTTCATTGGTTGTAATTTAATTAAATAACATGAGATGCAACAATATTTTTTTGTAAAATATGTATAAAACATTATACTCACTTCTTCCTCAGTAATTTGAGGTCTTAAGACAATATCACCTAGAACTTGAGTTACTATATCTAATCCGCGACGTTCTGCCGATGCTGCATAGACAAATGTGTCGCGAGACGCTTGACAGTCGCATATACCACCATGCTTTTCTAATGCCAGCATTATTTTATCTTTACTGTTAAATGTGTTTGTAGACTGTAACAATTAGTATAATATAATTTTGTATATAGTTATGTATTATTTATGACTTATGCAAGTTAATAAAGATCATTAATTATAAGACAAGGAATATGTAATTAAGTAATTAAATTATTAAATAAACTATACAAATGCAGATTAATGATCTTTGACACTTATTACATACTAAAATATTAATAATAACATTTATTATACACCAAGATATTAATAATAATACTTGTAATGAAAGAATCTTACACCAAATGCTAACTTTTCAAGAAAGTGCGAGATGCCATTAGGATATGCCACTTCATATCGCGGACCCGAATCAATAAGGACTGAAAATTAAAATAATACAATAATCTAAATAAACACATATCTATACACACAAATCTAATACAAGTTTATTAGTGTTTTTAATTGTAACAGGTTTGTACCAACCTAGGTTGGTTTAATACTCTATTATAATTGATGTTACAATGCTCTATCAATAGTACATCATATAACATCTTTAATCCAATCCAAGTTGATACAAACTCATTACAATCAAAAACGCTACATATAATATCCCATGCTCATTCTAATATCTATATGCTCAACTCACCACCTATAGTACAAAATTGTCCAAATCGATTTTCAGATGCAACTTTTAAGCCATTTGGTAAAATAGTAATCTGTGTTGTTTGATGCTCCTCTTTCACAGTTGAGTAAACAGCTTTTGGCAAATTTGGAACGGGTTCTGTCAACGGTGGAAATAATATAACGGTTTTCTTGTAATTCTCCTTTAAGTCAGGAGGTATTCTTTGGGAGGAAAAGTTACACCTTTGCCAAGCATTGAGATATTGCGAACGAGTTGAGCTGAAAAATAAGAAGCAAAATATATGTGCGTATATATATATATATATAAATTTTCTGTGGAATGTAGACATTTCATTCGTATGTGTATTTTTTTTCTGTTAAAAGAATAAAATCGAGGTTATACAAATCTAATTTTATGAGTAACTTAAAAGATCATGTTATTACAATTACCTTTTTTTAAGTGCAACCATTAAAGGCTTTTGCAACATTTTCGAGAGTATTTTATCAATTCGAAGAGATTTGTAGTACACAAACGTAATTCTTACAGAGGGACTCTAGTAATTCTAATTGCCGAAAGATGTTCTTGGAACGTATCTACGATGAGGATGTTTGCAGAAAGAAAGATGATGACAGCAAATCTCGATATAATCTCTGCGTTCTCTCATACAACGGATTTACAAGCAAGAATACTTAAGCATATTCGATAACGATACATCTTGTTAATATATATAAATAACATTTCAGTTTTATGAAATAATAGGTTAGATTTTCGTGATTCGTTCTTTTGGTAAATATAAATGCGTTCGGAAAAAGAGAGAGAGAGAGAGAGAGACGCTATCGTGTCACTAGGTCTGTTCTTTTTACGCTAAATTCATCGGACGCAGCAAACGTCGAGCAGCGGAGCCGGGAGCAGCAACCAACCAGCGCCACCCTCAGTGAGTGGTTCTGGACAGTTCTGGACAGTTCTGGATGCATATTTCTATTGGTGCACTCTTGAGTGTGATTAAATACAAATTAATTTGTAATTTTCAGTATTAATAAACAATTTAACCCTTCAATTACATATCTTTTGTTATCATGATAACCTCATAACCTTAAAAGAATTAAATTATTTATTAACACTAAAAATGGGTAAATCAATTTCCACCTACCGCACTTTTACTCCACCTGTTCAACGTGGTCATTTACTTTAGTTTCATGGCGCTTCAAGGTTTTTGAGGTGAAGCGCGTAAGCGGCATCGAGGTAATCGGGTTATCTCTTGGATTTAAAATGTCGACGTGTAACGTGTAGTTTACATTGACAAACTGGAGAGCTCATCGAAAGAGGAAGAAAAAAAATGGAATATTTTAAAAGCAGTCTGAAATCTGTCTTAGGAACCGTTCCCGCTGGTACACAGCCAACGGGTGCCGATACAGTGAGTGGAACTAATAAATACATGTTTCACGCAAATTACTTTCCTATATTTGAATAAACGCTGTGCATTTCCGTGTGATTACATTGCTGCTGATTATCAATAGTTTTCTATTGATTAACTAAATTGTAAATAATTTACAATGTAATGGTGCTATTGCTTTAGCAATATTTATATGTTTGATACAGGTGGAGAGACTAGTAGACAGGTTGCAATCTTCTAGTCTGCTGGATGATAGAAGAGATGCTTGCCGTGCGCTCAAGGCACTATCTCGCACGTATCGTGTTGAAGTGGGTGCTCAGGGAATGGATGCATTGAGACAAGTGCTAGAGATGGATAGAACAGATTGTGAAATAATTGGCTTGGCCTTGGACACTCTTTGCAATATTACAAATCCTGAAGTGTTTGATGAAGAGGGTAGGATTGAAGACCCATTTTTTGGCTGTATTTGTATATTACTGTCAGTTGTCAGTAAAGTATAGTATACATAACAGGAACTATAGAATTTATATCATATGTATCACTAAAATTAAAATAATTTAATTGAAAGTTGCTCATTGGTTTGAGTATTAAACAATAATTGGTGTAAATTAAGATTATATTTGTTTCATTTTAAATATAACAAGTATATATTTCAGTCATAGAGAACATTTTGAATTTTTTTTTTAATATAATTGATTTTATATCTAATTTCTTTATATTATTTTAGTGGATAAACACGGTCCCAAGAACAAGATAGGAGAACAGTTTACAGAAATATTTATCAAGCATCCAGATAGCATTAGTTTGGTGCTGACATTTCTTGAAGAGTTTGACTTTCGTGTTAGATGGCCAGCACTAAAGCTACTGACACATTTATTAGCAAACAGATCTAAAGATATTCAGGAAATAATCTTGGTCAGTCCTATGGGTGTTTCTAAATTAATGGATTTGCTGAGTGATAACAGAGAAGTTATACGCAACGATGTATGCTGAATTTATCAATGAAAGCTTCAGGAAATAATGAGAATGTTTTGCTTATAATATATCTTTTATATAGGTCTTATTGCTGCTCTTCCAGTTAACAAAAGGAAATGCTAACATACAAAAAATAGTGGCATTTGAAAATGCATTTGATCGTATATTTGATGTTATTGAGCAAGAGGGTAACGCAGATGGTGGTATTGTTGTGGAAGATTGTCTTCTATTAATGTTAAATCTTCTCAAAGGAAATGTTAGTAATCAAAACTTCTTTAAAGAAGGTAATATACTTGCGATTGAATCTTTCTGGCAATAATCTTATAGTTATGTAATAATTTTTGCATTGCATTATACAGGTAGCTACATTCAGAAATTAACACCAATGTTTCAAATTCCCAATGAAATGGAAGATAATAATCTTGGTGGATGGAGTCCTCAGAAAGTATCTAATGTTCATTGCATGGTACAAGTTGTACGAGCATTGGTAGCACCGAGTGCTCCTGCTCAGGTAAAAAATAATATAGCACTACATAAAATTTCCAATGTATGTATCTTTAAATAATAGCTAAACAATTATATATATGAAGGCAGTTGGAGCTTGTCAACGAACTATGAGAGCATGCGGATTATTACAAGCTTTGTGTGATATATTGATGGCTAGTGGCGTGCCAGCGGATGTATTAACCGAGACCATTAATACTGTAGCGGAAGTAATAAGAGGAAATGCTAGTAATCAAGAATTTTTGGCGGGTGTTATGGCACCGAGTACTCCTCCAAGGTATATCTTGAATACATGCTTTTACTTATTTTCTATCCGCGTACATGAATATTTTTCAGAGTAATAAACGATTTATAAATTACATAAGTATATTATAGGCCGGCTATTGTCGTCTTACTAATGTCTATGGTGAATGAAAAACAACCATTTGTTTTACGATGTTCGGTATTATATTGCTTTCAATGCTTCCTGTACAAGAACGAGGTAGGACAGACACAGTTAGTCCAGACTTTATTACCACAAGGCAATGAGGCACCATCATTAACTACAGGTTCATAATCTCTTTTATAAATGTATAATGTAAAAAAATAACTCCAATTCTAGATAAATATGTTTGATAACTGAAATAACACATGACTATTTCACATATATCTGTTGTTAGGACAGTTGTTGTGTGGTGGACTATTCTCTATAGATTCTTTGTCAAATTGGTTCTCCGCCGTGGCATTATCTCACGCTCTGATTGAGAATATAAGTCAAAAGGAACAACTTTTAAGAGTACTTCTTGCAACCAATATTGGAAAACCACCAGTGACGCTTATGCAACAGTGCGTTATGTTGTTGCAACAGGGTAACAAAACGCAGTGTAAATTGGGCCTGCTGATTCTGCTTTGTCGATGGACTTCGTATTGTCCACTCGCAGTAAAATCATTCTTAGCTATTGACTCTTCAGTAGCATATTTAACAGCTCTTTTGTCATCACAAGAAAATAATGATGATTTACAAGAGACCTTACTGCAAAGTATGTGTGCTTTGCTTATCGGTATTTGCGTATACTTCAATGATGATAGCGTTCCTACTTATACAAAAGTAAATACCAATAATTGTATAGATCCAATATATAAAGTGACTAATGTGCAACTAATAACTTAACTGTATTATTTTATAGGAAAAAGTGTGCAATTTAATAGAGAATAGAATAGGTTGGGAAAAGTTCCAAGATGCAATCGGTGGTATTGCCAAACACGAAATATATTCTCGAACACTAAAACATCCACAGCCTTCAGCTAAGAATCCATCAGAACTTTTATTGGATCATGAATTTTGCAGGCTGTTAAAAAGTTTGGAAGGTACTTAAATACGTCAAATATTTAAATTTTTTACAATCATAAAGAAAATTAATGTTGACAATTTTTTTGAAACAAATAAGATTTTCGTTTTTTTAGGTATTATAATAAAATCGGTGATAGATGTTAATAATGAAAACAGAAATCAATTATCTGTAATGAACTTACCTGATAGTACATTAATTTCACAATATAAAGATCTTATTAGAGAACAGGATATACAAATTCAAAGGCTAAATCAAGCTAATGATTTTCTTACAAAAGAAAAACAAGAATTTGAGGTAGGGATTAAATTTCTTTTTAGAAAATTATAAATTTATAGAATATATTAAAAAAAAATTTTTTACATTTTTCTATAGGCACAAATACAAGAACTTCGTTCAACCGTTAGTCATTTACGAGATCAAAATTTGGTTCTTCGAGCTGCACAAGCTAATATAGGAGATGGAAAAGAAACAAGTACTTCTAGTAATAATAAAGATTTGGAAAAAGAATTACAAACGTATAAAACAATGGTTGTAGATTTAGAAAATCGTGTAACTGAATATATGCACATAATGCAACAGCACAATGAAAAGGATAAAGAAAACAGGGAATCAGAATTGGAATCTCAATTAAAATTGAAGACAGATGAGTTTGAAATATTGAAGAAAGATCAAGAGGCTCTTTTAGAACTCTTGACAGATCAAGACAGTAAAATTTCACTGTATAAAGAAAGATTAATTGAATTAGGGGACAAGGTATGTTTTATAAAGCTGTTCTTCATATAATATATGATAAGTAAAATAAGTATCTTTTCCCTTTTTAGATTGAATCTGATGAAAGTTCGGGTGAACTTGACACAGATGATCAACCAGAATCAAGTAACTAAGCTTTAATTGACGTTCCTTCAAATAAATTAATAACAGAATCTTCATTTACCAATTCTTTTATCAATAAGCAACTTTTTTTTTCACATTTTATAAGATTTCATTTAAAGTATCTTAAATGATGTAAACATAATATATACATATATGCAAATATGTGTATATTTGCACATTTGCAAATGTGTACACAAATATGTGCACATAATTGTATAAATGATGTTCAATCACGGTTTCTATAAGCTAAAATGTATAAATTCGATGAATAGTTATATATAAGTAAATTGAACTATATATATCATTCTAATGTAATAACGTTTTAACATTCTAATGAAATAGACAGTTTATAAAAAATAATGTAATTGTAAAAGTAGATTACATTTGAACTGAAGAAATCGCCAATCATTCCTACGTTCAACATTTTGATATCTAGTGCAATGTTTACGATGTTTACAAAGAATTATCCAAAAAAAATGTATTTTTAATATATTTATTTTAAATAACTTATTCTAACTACGATTGTACAATTAATAGAACTGACAGGGATAACATTTGTAAATTCTCATTTTCAATAATTTAATATACAGTAAAGTATAATAGAGCTCTATTAATACATCTTAAT